CACATGGCACCACTTAATCTTTTCTTTTGCTCATAATCTGAAACACTTTCCCTTTCTTCTAAGAATGACTCCCATTTAAATAATATTTACCCACGGTGCCTGTGACCCCATGTCTGCGTTCAGCTCTGATGCATTTCCTGGCCCCACACCCAGGGCTTGTCTGTGAACCGTCGTGGGGGCCTGTGTAAAAAGAAATGAAACCAGGGGAGAGGCGTGGGAAAGACTGGCTCACACATGCATGGGGAGGGCTCCTTTATTTTTGAGGACCTGACCGTGTGGCCCCCGGGCCCCCACTGTTACAAAAACAGAGGCATTTGACTGGCTGTGAAACTGCCCTGTGATTCTAGCTCACTGGATTTCTTGACGCGTTCAGCATCACGGGACGAAGCGCATGCACGGGTCCAGGCTGATGCCCTTGGTGGTGTTTCTTAGCAGTGTTTTTGCTACTGATTTATAGAGCAAAGCCCTGTCACTTGGGGCCTTGATGTGTCTTCCATCCATCTGGTCTGACAGTTCCTATTACACAGTTACTCTCTGCGCCTGTCATTGGGAAAGGGGGACATCCAGAGAGACAGCCACCAGCATCCTAAACCACGCAAATGAGCCTTCATGTGAGTGGCCCTGGTACCCTCTTGGTGCGGAGGGTGATTGTGTTGTTATTCCTGTTACTATTATTATTTGCGGTGTGTCACGCCATTTTCAAAATGTCATTTGATCACTTACCCTGACAACATCACTGTGAGGCAGGCATAGCAGTTGAGTTCTGTATAGAAATTTATTCGTTGTGGTACCGGCTAAGAGCATGTGCTCTAGGGCCGGACTGCCTGGGTTTGCGTCCTGGGCCTGCCACTCCCTGGTTATGGACAAATTACTCAACGTCCCCAAGCCTCAGTTTCCTCATCTGTAAAATAGAGAATAATAGTCCCTACCTCATTAGGTTATTATGGAACAAGTGGCTAAATTTTATGAAGTATATAAAACAATGGCTGGCACAGAATAATCATGGTAAAACATTCACTTGGGTTGGCCAAAGAGTTCTTTTGGGTTTTTTTCCCCCCTATAACATGGCTCTAGTAGCACCCATCTGTCTTTAATTTCATTTGAAACAGTTTTGTTAGATTGTATTGTGATAGCTATCATTAGCATGCATTAAAAAAATGCTTGTCAAAACTGGTGAATATTTATGTAACCAGTTTAATAATGAAGGTGGAAGAAAATAAGTGACATTTTTGACATATTATGTTGTATTATATCAAGAAAGGTAAGACTGCAACTGAAACACACAAAAAAACAAAAGATTTGTACAGTGTATGGAGAAGGTGCTATGACTGATCGAATGTGTCAAAAGTGGTTTGTGAAGTTTTACGCTGGAGATTTCTCGCTAGACGATGCTCCACAGTCAGGTAGACGAGTTGGAGTTTGACAGCAATCAAGTCGAGACTTTAGTTGAGAACAATCAATGTTATACCACATGGAAGATACCCAACATACTCAAAATATTCAAATCAATACAGCTATCGGTGAAAATGAAAAATCTGTCTTTTCTGTTATGGGAAAAAATCACACAAACTTTTTGGCCAACCGGTATTATCAACATCATCATCTCCACGTTGCCATCCAGGTCCCAAGAGGTTCTTTGTTGAGAATCATATTTCTAGTGCAGGCGTGAAAACTCAAACACAGTGTCATGACTCCAAGAGACGTGGACTTTTCTCCCTCCTGGTCTTTATTTTCTTACTACACAGCAACACAAAACTGCATCCTTGTTGTAAAGGAACAAAACAGTGCAGATGCACACAGAGGACATTGCTGGGATCTGACCCTTAACCCCTCCCTCTCTCTGCGGAGGTATTCGCAACAAGCTGACAGGTGTGCATTCTCCTGTTGCCCCTCCGTGCAGGGCGCAAGTATAAAATTGACATACATACACAGGTGTGTTCTCTCTGACACATTGATAATAACTGTACCTGAGTCATAGGTCTGGTGAGGGGGTGCTTGGCAATATGCTGTTCATCTCATCAGCTCCACGAGGTAAGTGCAATTCTACCCCTTGTACAGATGTGGAAGCTGAAGGTCTGAGAGAGTCCCTGCATCACCCGACCACGTGCTGCGGATACTGGACTGAATGTAGTCAGACTGACTACTCTTTATGTGACTGCGCCATAGACATTCCGTTTCCGCGTGACTCTTTCTCTTAGGCCTATCAGTTTGAACTCTCTCCATGCAAGGATATAACGTTCACTTCATTCTTTTAATGGCTACATAAGGTCGGTGTTTTATCTAACCACTTGCTTATTTAGGTTGTTTTCTGTTTGTCATTTACTATTGTATATAGTACAGTGCCAAACATCTTCAACACCTAACACTTTCGGGAACACGTGTGGGCATTTCTGTAGGGTAGCTTTTAGAAGCGGAGTTTGCCTGTCAGGGAGGATGTCCATACTACATTTTTATAAGTATTGCCAAAGTCGCCTTCCAAAAAGAATTCTACTCACCAGCAGTGTTGTGAGAATGTTTGTGTTCTCACACTAGTGATTTTTTTTTCAATCTTTGCCAATGTGACAAAGAAAAATATGTTTTTCTAAATTGTATTTCCCTGATGCCTTTTGGGGTCATCCACATTTCCTCTGGAAATTGTCTTTTGCTTATATTGCTGTTTATTTTTCCTTGTAGGTGCTCTTTATATATTCGATGATACTCTTTAGTCTGAAGGGCATGGCAAATATTTTCTCCCCATCTGTTACTTCTCTCTCTAAGAGGAAAATCCATTGTTCTCACCATTAATTGAATGATCCACTCTTTCAGCTCCTTTGAAATCCCACCTGTATTTTAATTCTCCTGTTACACGCTGGTTGTTTTCTCTTCCTGCACCAGAATTACAGCACTTCAGCTATTTCAGCCTTAGAATAACATTTTATGTTGGAAAGGCAAAAATCCCCTTTCATTGCTGCTCTCTTTTGCATAAAAAAAATGCCTTTGTATTAGTGAGCATTTTTTCCTCCCCTGTGAACTTACAGAGTTGGCTTGTCGAGTTCTCGAGAGGAAACTCCTGTGTGTACTCTAACTTAGAATGCACTGCATTCGTAGGTTCATCTTAGATAAATTGACATCTTGACATTTACTTCTCCCATCCAGAAGTACTCTGTCTCTATTTAAGTCTTTTATGCTCATAAGTTAAATTCTATGGTTTTCTTTATACAAACCTTACACTGAAAGGTTTGTTGCTGTTACAAATGAGGTCCTGGTTTCCCATTACATTGACTTAATTTGTATTGCTAGTGGATAGGAAAATTGCTGGTTTTTATGTGTTAATTATTTCATCTAGCTACTTGGCTGAACTCTTTTATTAGTGACCTTTACACTTATTTCTTTTTCTTGACTTATCACATTGGCTTGGACTAAAACAATGTAGGAAACACTGGTTAAAGTATACATCTTTGTCTCGTTCCTGTCTTTAATAAGAAAGCTTCTAATGTTGTGCCACCAAATATAGAAACCCTTTGTCAGCTTGAAGAAATTCCTTTCTATTCCTGGCTTACTGAGGAGTGTGCTTTTTCACTACATCAGATTCCTCTTAAGGGGCCTGAATTCTTTTCCTCACATTTCCCTGGAGAATCCAGAGATTGTCCCTCCCAGGACCCATAGCACTGACCTCCCGGCTGAGCCTCCCTGGGTTATAACTGAGTAGGTGATACCACCCTCCTCCTGCACTCACAGTGGACCCTGGATGGCCTGAGGAAAGGCGCCCCTTTGTGTTGACATTTTCTACCCTCCCCTCACCGCCCAGGAAATAAACTTAATTAAACATACTGTGTGGACAAGAACCATGGTACTACTTCTGGAATTTTCTGGCAAACCCCACTGAAAAGATTTTTTTTTCCTGGCTCCTAGTTTTAAATAACTTCCATTTTTCCCCCCCCCACTTGGTTCTCTTGAGTAGCTGAGCACCGTGTCACATTCTGGTTGCTACGTGGCTTTCGGACTTTCTCGAGGAGCACGTGAGAAAGGAGTCGCTCTGGCCTCTCTGACTTCCTGTTGAGCTTCCAGGCAGGACCAGGGTGCAGCCACTCCTAATGCTAGGCTCTCGGCACTGCCTTTCCCCTGGTTAAAGCAAAAGAAATGTCGTTCTAGTTTATTGATAAAGTGACTTAATTGCAGAGTGTGCATTTGATCGTTTGTAGGTAGCACGGTTTTTGTTGTCCACAAAAAGATTTCATTTTGCAGGCGTGTATTTGGAGCATGACTCTAATGTGACTCGGCACCTGTCTAGAGAATTGTCACTGTGTCCAGTGACATTTCGCCTTGGGGAAGTCAGTACCTGCTGTGATGGCAGCTGTCATATTTAGGACTATGGAATGCCCAGGGATAATGCAGAACCATCTCAGTAAAGTGCCTTCTTCAGAAAACAATTAATACAAGATTTTGGCAAAAGATTGTAAGCAGCACAAGAGAGCATTTGGGCTCCTTCTGAGAGAGAAGCAGTCGATAATGACTTTTACTGTGGTTTTTCTCAGCTCGATATAAGCTGGGCAGATTTTATTATTTTCAGACTATTTGGCTAAGAAAGCAAGAACCTGCTAATAGAATCCTTTCCTTTTATTGCCTTAGTACAAACCAACGTTAGCCTCCAGCATTCATTCGATGTTACTGTTTTTGAGATGGGTTTTTTTGGGGGGAGATGGAGTGGACTGATCTCATGCATGAGTTGTGTAACTGGCAGCCATCCAGGAGAGCCCAAGCCAGGAGAGAACCGGAAGCCAAAAACCCCAAGAGGCAAGTCGCCCCATCACGTCAGGCACAAGGAGCTGGTTTTGAGCCCCTCCCAGTTCCGATGGGATTGGCTTCAGCTTCTAAGTCTGTTGGTGAAGGAGGTTTGGTCACCTGCACAGTTATTTTTCCTTTCTCACCATCCTCTTTTCCTCCAAATCCCCAAGTCCAAAAAAGAGGCCGCGTTTAGTGACCAGGAGTAGACTCAATGTCCTTTACCTCTTCTCTTCCAGGCAGGTGACAAGCACTACCACCCCAGCTGTGCACGATGCAGCAGATGCAACCAGATGTTCACAGAAGGAGAGGAAATGTATCTTCAAGGTAAGCTGGGCTCAGGAGCCCCGCAAGTTCCCCCCACCAGGGGGGGAAAACCCGTGCTGTTTGTTTGTTGAGTTGTTTTTAGAGAAGGAGGCATTTCATTAGCTGCAAGGCCACCCAGGTCCAAAATGAGTTTGGCCAAACAGTTACCTCATCGGTTAGTATTAATCAGCCAAGCAATGGACATGCTGGCAATGGGCCCTGAGGCTGTTAACAAACGTGTTGCTGCTGGAATGAATGAATAGGACTAGGTGTTTGGGCTATGGATATAAGCAAGAGTAAAGATCACACCTCCCCCCAGCCATCTCCAGCAACCTGCTAGGGAAGCTGAAAGATCAAAGAGAGAAAGCATTTCTAGAAATGCTACTGACCAGACAACTACTTCTTCTTTTCCCCTTTCACTCTCCTGCCAGAAGGATTGTTCTGAGGCCCCCCAGGCTGCTGCTGCCCTGGCTTCCAGGGGGAAGAAAACCTCATCTTTCGTGAATTGCCTCACAGTTACATTTCATCACATTAAGATGCCATAGCTCTCATACTGAAGGAGAGGGACAGAACACGCCCTAAGTCCCTGAAAGAGAAATGAGACGTTTCTGGTGGGATTATCAGGAGGCCATTGGATTTTTTTTTTTATTGAAAATGATTTTGGGAAATGTTTCCAGTGTACAGCTATCACTAGTTTTTATCTCCTCCAAACTTCCGTAGCTTCTGTAGGGGAAGATTCTCTTCCATCAAACAGTACCATCTGTGGGAGCATTTTGCTATTTTTGGCTGTAAAAGAGTCATTAAATAGACAAGGACTTATCAGTAAATTTAGCAAGAACTGTAAGAGCTATTGCTCATTCAATTTTGGTAATGACTGGGTTTCATCTGCTTTTGCATGTCATGTCTTCATGTCTCTTTGCACGTAACACTGTGTATTTTTAATGAATGGTTTGCTTTGCTCCTAGGGGTTTTTTTACACAGCTACAGAAATCGCTCTGGAATATTCAAGCAAAGCTTAGGTCCCCTAAGCTAAGGGGACTTAGCTACAGGCCCCTTAAAAAAGCTAACTGTATTAGAAATTAACATCCCAAACATCCTTTTAACGGTAGGATGATCACTCTGAAATATTATGATTTTTAAAAATCACTGAATATTAAAGGGCCCAAATAAAGGCAAGTGACAACCCAAATCCATGGTCTCCTCTGGGCATGGTGTGACATTTCCCTGAACACAGGCAGGAAATCTGCAATGGCAATAGGCAGGTGTCACCATGCACTTCCGGAATGGCACAGATTTATTCTTTACTTGGCCTCTGGGCTTCATTTTAGATTTTAGTGCCTCAGTGACAACATTCAGAAACAAAGACGCCAGAGTGCCGGTCAGCCCCGAGTCTGCTAGGAGCTGAGACGGGGGTCTGGAAGCTGAGACGCGGAGTGATCTCCAGCTGTGCGCAAACACAGCACATTCACACGGCAGATAACCAGCTGCCTGTTAAAGATGGGCGGCGTTCAGAATTCTGGGGATTGTTGCGAATCTCCTCCTGGGCCTTGGGACTCTTTGCTTGCCCTCATGGCACATTCTTGAAGAATGAGCACTTTCGTCTTCCTCGGCATCTGATGCGCCGTCTGTGTCACATACCCATGTGCCTGACCTCTGGAGAACAATGCGACACTGCGCGAACCCAGTGTTCTGGCCAGCGGCCTCTGATCAATAGAACATTCACGGCGAACGTAGCTCCTGGGCCCAGCGCTGACCCCGTGGCCCCCGGCTCTCCGCGGGAAGAGGGTTTCTGGTGCCTGGCAGCCGGCCCCGGAGTAATGTTAGTGCTGAAGGGTCTATGGGTCTGTCTGGTTCGTGCATGTTGGATTGTCGTCTTCTTCTTCTTTTCTAGCCCTGGGTCAGGCCAGATGGAAATGATTGTTAAATAGGGGTTACAGTAGTATTCTGATGCGAAATGTATTTTCCTTGTCATCGTTTAATGCTATTTTAGCTCGATGGTATAAAATAATACAAGAATTACTTTAATTTGGTGTCTTTTCAAGCACACACAGATTGCTGTTTAAAGAGATGAGATTATCTACATTTCAATAATGAAATGTAGAAAGTCTGGTGTTCCTAGAGACTCATTAAATTTACAGTGTATCATTTACTCACTGCTTTCAACTTAGTAACTTTACTTACTTAAATCTTTTTAAGTGCTCCCCCTGGTTCTCCTGCCCATCCCCACATTTGAACATATCCTTACGTATAGGTCTTAGCCATAATTTTATAAATGCCATATATATCTGAGCATATAAAATTATGTAGGTGGGTTTGCGTTTCTACAAGATAAGCGCTCTCTGCGGGATGTGAATGTTCTGCTCGGTTCTGGGACCGTCCGTGAAAACACCTTGTACTCTGAGGAAGTGAAGGCACGGACCCAGACAGAACCAGAAAATGACACCCAAGTGGTAGCTTCCCTAGTTTAAGGTGAAGACTTTTTAAAGTTAATTAAAAGGTTGAAAGATAAAGGAAACTTTTGGATTTGTACCTTGCAACCTTTCTACTGGTTTGTCTGATATCCCAGAGCTGGGTAGATGACCATGTATGTAGCTGGATCAACAAAACAATGCAGTGAGCGTTGCCTCTGAATATAGACTGTTTATCTGTTTTGCCTTTATTTCCCTCATCTAAACCGCTTGGTTGTTTTGATGTTCTGTACACACGGCTGACAGCTTATTGTTCTGAAATTAAATGCAGCTTATAGTAAGATGCAGACATTACTTTTAAAAGATAATGATATGGTTAGAAAAAAATACCCAGTCACTAACTAAATATCCCTGAAATCAAAGCACTCTGGTGCCCAGTTAGTGGTCTCTGTGGTCGAGAATTACGACCTTCAGGAAGCAAGCTCAGACTGGAGTTTGGAGGGTCTGGCTCACGTGGCCACAGGGTTCCCACACTCCCTGGTGCTGGGGAAATGGGGTTCTGAACCCTTCCCAGAAGTTCTAACATGGCTTTGTTCCACTGCCCCAGCTCTGAGCATGCGCTGTGTCTTTCCAGGTTCCACCGTTTGGCATCCAGACTGTAAGCAATCCACCAAGACGGAGGAAAAGCTGCGGGTAAGGAAATAATTAGAGACGTGGTGGCAGGTGCATTTGCAGGCCATATGTTTCACAGTGACTCATTCTCGGGGCTGGAATTTGGGCAAAATTACTTTTCCATGACTTTTTTTCCTTTATAGCAGACCATGCTGAAAGGCCATTTGGCCAGGGGAGGAGGTGCCCTCCTACCTTAAATTGATTACAGTTTTTGTTCCAAACGCTTGTGTTGGACAAAGTAAGCCTTGCCTCGCTGGTCAGATTGTTAGGAATGCGTTCAAGAGAAACGTCAAACCATACAGATGTGAAAAAAATGATTCATGAAGTTCTCGGTCCAACATCTGGCAAGGCCTCACCAGACATTTTTATACTCAGTCTGTAATGCAACCCAGCAACCCGGCGCTCAGCTCTTGGAGCGTTCTGCTGCCCTCTCCTGTCCAAACTCTCCGAGGAGCCTCCCTGTCCAAAAGCTGGTGATTTGGGGAAACAGTGATGAGCCCCGACATGTCAGTGTGAACAGGCAGGCTGCGTGGTTTTAGAACTTAACTCTTACATGGCATCGGAGTGTTTCAGCGGCTCTCCTGGGCCCTGGAGCACACGGGCAAAAGGATAGACCCTCCTTCTCCCTGACTCGTAAAGCCTTCTGGTCTTCGTCAATTCTCAGAACGCCACCCGAGGACCAGAAGTTACCGGCTTCAGAAGCCATGTGTGTGCACAGCTGTAAGCCATTAGCACGATCTGCATCCTGATCAGGCCTCTCCAGGTTTCCACCTGGGCCGGACAGTATTTTTCAGGGAGATACTCAGACTGGGTCCAGACCATCGTCTCTCTGCTTAGCTCACCTAGTGGTACCCTTGGGCAAACTGGAGTTGGAGGATCATCCACGTGGAAGCTCAGGGGAGAGAATGGACTGGGTTTATCTGAAAGGCCAGACTTAGAGTGTGGTCTCCTTTCTCCGCGGTCTGCCATGAACAGGCATAAGAAGCTATGTCTGTAACCCTAGTAGCAGTATATTTTAAGTGGGGGAAAAAAAACAGTTTTTCTCAGAATAATTGGGTGAAGACAAGACAAACTGAAAAAGAATTCACCCCCCCCAGTGTGAGGATGGGTGGGTTTCTGCATGCACGTAGAGCACCAACTTGAGCACAGGTGTGTAGCCCTCAGGTCCATCAGCTGGGCGGGCACGTGCTGGAATAGTCACCTTGTCCGGGCTCCAGATTCTTGAGGAACCACGAATGCTTCGAATATGGGTTCTCTTTATAAGTTACAAGAACGTGAAAGAGAGTGCTTATTGTCACTTTATCATAAGAATGTAAGATTCACAATAGCGGGGACACTGCCCAGGAAAAGCACCCGAGTAGCCCATGGTTCGCACCGTCTTTGAGTCATCGTGGTCATTTCCTCCCCTGTGAGGTCTTCTGGGAGACGAAGACAAGAACGCAAACAGGGCCAGACTGCCTGGAATGTGGTAAGGAAGGATTGCTTGAGTTTGCAGATGGTGTTCCTAAAATGATTTAAAAAAAAAATTAACAATTTTAATGGCGTCTTCATGGAACTCTCTGGATAAGCTTATGAAAATAACTAGTGAAATTCTTACACTCATTCTAGCCCAGAGGAGCTATTGTTTTTTTTTCTTCCTGTGGTGGAGCTTACCAGAGAATTCCAAAGCTCTTCCGAAGCCCGTGTTTACCACTTGGGAGGTCAGGCCCGCCCTGGGCTCACCCACCGTTGGGAAGTCAGTAGTGAGAATTATGTCCCTCCGAGGGGAAGGGGTCCCGATGTGCCCCGAGTGGGGTACGTGCTGACATGGTGAGATTTAAAGGGGAATTGGTTTTTGAATAAGAGAATAAATCTTGTGCTCTCTTAAGGGCGTGTCTACCGATCCCAAATCTTGAGCCAAGATTTTCAGGCCTTTCACCGGGTGTCACATTAGTGCAGTTACCATAGCAAAATGAAAATGTTTTAAGGCTCTCTCAGCAGCACCACTGAGTAATCCACATTCTTGGTATTTGAGAACTCACGGGGTGTTTGTAACAACAGATTCTTAAAGGAACATCTCTCAGTGGCTTCACTGGCTTCTTACTCTCCATCTGGAATATCTAAGCCAAAATAAGGGGAAGGGGGCCGCAGAGGGGTTGGGATGTAGGTGACTATACTACCTGCTTTTAAACATGGGCCCCCGAACACCTTCATCCACACACATCACCCATAGCAATGACGCTTGGTGTTCACCATCAAATTAGTTTTACTGAAGGATTTTTTAATAGTGTTTCTGAATCGAGTTTCTTTCTGTGTTCATCCTTTCCTTTTTTCATGTTTCACGGCAGCCACCAAACATTCAGCATTCTTCCTCCGATTTCTTTTATCCCAAAAGTCTGATCCGACGCACAGGACGGTCTCCGTCACTGCAGGTTGGCGCTGTGTCTAGGCTGGGGCCCGGCGCGCTGTCCTGGGCCCCGGCTTCTGTCGCTTTCCCTCCCTGCGCTGCTTTTCCCACCTAACTTCTCTGGCGCCTGCTTCTCACCCACAGAGTGCGTCTCACCTTCTGATCGTGGCTGCTTTCTTCTCTAATCAACGATTCCATTTAGAGCAGTGGCTAAAGCATCGTCTTGATTCGAACAAACGCATTAGAAGCTACGCTTTTGGTCCTGTGTTCACACGTTTGTTTGTTCACTGAACAGATAACTTGCCAAGCACCCACCCAGGTGTCCTGTGGGCTGGAAGCCGTAGACGCAGACTAGTAGGGGAGAGAGGATAGATAGAGAAGTAATTATGAAATAGCATAGAAACATATCACAGGAAATGGATCACATAGATCAAGAAATGTCAGCTGAGCAAAAGGGTCTCCAGGGGGCACTTTCTGGAAGCTGGTGTAGATTCAAACGTGTGCAGGTGATGAGACAGGGGTGGTCTGAAGGGAACGGCAAAGGCAGGGCACTGGGAAAAGCTTGGGTAGGGAGCGATTTGCCTGAAGAAGGAGCAGTGAAGCAGGAAAGGAAACAAATGAAAGTGGGCACCTATTCTTCAGAGGCGGAGAGGTTTACTTACTCTGTTACTTGCCCTTTCTGAGAATTCCCAGGGAGAGCTATCCTTATTCCCATTTTACAGATGGACAGACTGAGACCTATCCCTGTGAGGTAACTTCCCCAGAATTCCACCACTGATAAGTCAGTGGAGCAGCTGGGATTGCAACCCATGTCTCTGTGAGCCCATAACTCTTCTTTCCACTGTTGCACAAGGGGAGAGAGAGAGCAAGCCAGGAAGACAGAAAGGGAAGCGCGTTAAACCCTGGCGCAGTCACATGGTGTTCGAGGAAAGAGCAGCGCGGCCTGCCGCGTGTCCGACAGAAGCAGGATGCACTCCCAGCCAGACCTCCGGGTGGGCGGCGAGGCAGGAGGCTGCGTCCCTGGCACAGACTGGGCCTTCTCCCAGGGTCTCTGAGACTCCGCTGAAACCTCCGCCTGCTAAATGACAGAGTGACTTTCCGCAACCCCATCTTTGCCTCGATGAAACCCATTGTGTGGCTCTGCCGACCGGTCAAGATTTCAACCCAGCCCTTCAGTCTGGGCTCTGTGCCTACGCCTTTTCTCTGGGCCTGCCAGATGACACTGAGGCCGAGGAGAGTTTTGGTTTCAACTTCTCTTCCTCATGAGTTGAATCCCAATTAGACATATAGCGTTTAGAGTGGAAAAAAATGTTTAGACATCAACCCCCTACGTGTCTTCATCTCTAGAATGAAGTCAGCCCAAGGCTACGCAGGTCATGAGCAGCAAGACTTAACTGCAGATTCCGGCCTTGGGTGTGTTGCTTTGGCCCGTGATACTGGACTGAATTCCAACTCGTGTTTGTCATACGATTTTCATTCTATCTTAAAGCTTTAGCTCCAGCTGTGGGGTTTTCTCATGAAGTGAAATTATAGTCTCGCGAATCCAGAGGAGCAGCCAAAGATCGTCCCCGCTGCAAATGAGTATTGCCCGGAATTAGTACCTCTACTTAGCAAAACTAGTACCTCTAGTTTTCCCCCCGTAGTACACTTTATAACTCAAGCAGTGCTCTGTTTTACTAGCCTAAGGCTATAACCAAGTGACGCATTTCCATGATGTGAAGAAAAAGGCCACCATCATGTGTGGAATATTTTGGTTTGCTCCAGACCCTTAAATTTAAGAGATGCGGAGTGTCTCAAGAAGTGGTGGGTTAGGACACAGAAATCTGCCTTTCATAGCTTCTCTCTTCCTACCCTATTATTCAAAGGGACATCTGGTCCCCATGATCCAGCCATAAATAGCCAGGAAGTCAGCCATCACAGAAAGTCTCCATCACAGAAAGCTGTGAACAGCTAGGGGTTGGCAGAGAAAACCAACCAGTGGACAAGGGCCCCTTCACCCACGGGCATTGAAGGACAGTTCACCAAAACATTTAACAAGCCCAGAAACTCCACAGCAATTTTCAGGTTACACAGATATATTTTTCTTTTTAAAATATGGTGTCCTAACATAGCAGCCCGTTTCACCCACTAGTATCAGACGCCTTCGGTTATTCGATCAACTGGCTGTGCTTCTTGCAGGGATATTCAGCACTTTGTGCCCCAGAAATCAGCCCTGGTTTTGCTGTGGGGGAAAGCCAGATTTATAGGAGGAAAATCATTGTCCTAAAACCACTCCTTCTTTCCTCTTGCTGCATTGCAGATAAAAAGCAATGATGAAAATAAAATTACCTAAGAAAACCATGTTCTAGTTTTACTTACTTGGAAGAGTTTTGTGTGAATAGCAAGTTGTGTCTACAGGTAACACTCAGGCTAAGTGTTTGTAACTCCTCTTGTCATTCATTACAGACAAGGCACGTGCTATTCCCAGGACCAAGCTGGTAATGATCCGAGTGGATCACCTGTGTTCACCCTAATCGGGGGCTTCTCTGCTGTGCCTTTCGCAGGCTAGAGCATAAAAGGGCTCCTGTACAAACTGGATATGAGATTTTTGTTCTTTTTGGAACTAACATTCACCTATTATTACATATGCGCTTACAAACCTGTAATACAGGGCTGGGCAAAAGTAGGTTTATAGTTGTGAGTATGCGAAACAGCGTTCTTCTTGTACTATTATTTATTATTGTATTATTTTCCATACGAACAACTGTAAGCCTATTTTCTAACCCCTGTATACAAAATACCATGTGTATATATATTTTTAAAGGAGGCAATTAGGGCCTTATATATGTCTAGAACAAGGAAATAATATTGATTTTTTTTTTATTAAGGTTGCTACAGTCCATACTGCTATATATTCTCAGCTTCCCCTTTGTTCGAATATTTTATCCTTTTTGGTCTTTACAGTCCTTCAGGATGTGTAGGTGTTAAGGTTTATACCAGAGAGACCCGGAGGCCTCTCGGCCATCCTGAAAGCTGAAGGTGTTGGTGAAACTCTCCAGGGAAAAGAGGCTGCGCCCCTGAGCCGCTCCTGCTTCCTCTCAAATGCAGATCCCCTTTCCAGAGTAGTGGAGTTCACCCTCGCTTGACCTCGGAGTGAACAGTCCATGCATGCAGATTTTAAAAGTATTCCTCCTTCTGCAGCTTCTGTCGCCCCGTTGTCTAGTGAACTCCAACAGAAACCCGAGGCAGGTACCGTCCACCGCAGCAGCACTCCGTAGCAGGTGTCCGTCCCCTTATATCAGTGGCTGTCCCCTAGGAGCTGTCCCATCTGGTGGTAGCCAGTTGCCTGCAGTTGCCCCCCCTTCTTAGAGCATGGCTTCAGATGAATGCAAATTAGATGGACGTAGTTGTGGCGCCTGGCTCCTGCTGAGGGGGGGCGGGGGGCGCGGGGCAGCCTCCCCTTCTAAGGAGGGACCAGGCGTGCATGGTGGCGCATAATTGAAAGGAAATGGAAAATGTCGTTTCTCCGCTTACTCGCCAGGTAGAGTTCTGGTAAGTTTTGGGGAGTTTTTTGTTTGTTTGATTTTAATGGTCAGTATTTGAAGAATGACAGGAGCTGGGGTAGAGACATAAGAATTCTTCCATGTAATTGTCACTTTGTGACTGTGCCTTCTGAATAGCGGGACAGAGGGACCGTGTCAAGGCCTCGGGGGAGGCAGCTGAAAGGCCGTTAGAAGGCTTTTTAAAAATATTTCACATAGACAACAAAGAGTCATGCATTTTCAATCATCTGGTATTAGTAACCAAATGCCATTTTTTCTCCTTCCCACTGAAATGAACCACTTAGTGTTCTGGCGAGACCTCTCTTTGTTGTTTTTGTTTGTTTGTTTGTTTGTGAAAATAAGAAACTTTATTGAAATCAAAAGCCAGTGGCTGACAGTGGGCTGAGGAGATAAATGTAGGTCGTATGGACCCCTTCCTCACGAGAGATTGAGTGGGGGCAGCCCCCTTCAACTAGAAGATTCTCTCTGAAGGCCCCTTTCCTCCTGTTGCTAAATTCGGATTAGATTGTTTGACTAATCTTATTGGCAAAGTGCATGGAAAGATCACGGTCTATTATCCTTTCCATATCTTTGTGCCTTCTCCACCTTTCCCTCTGCCTCCCCGTTGTTTCTGGTTCTCTTTTTTGGCAAAGAACTGAATTTTTTCAACTGCGCTTTCAAGTTGGTTTTTTTTTTCTGCAAAGCTAAACGAAAGGAGCTTAAAGGGCAGTAGGTCACATATGTCTTCAGCAGCTCAGACCCAGGTCCTTGTTCCCTTTCTCTGGAACACAGAAGTGGACGTGTTTTTAAGGAGAAATGTTTGAAATCATCTTCGTTTGTGATATAGGCAAGAGAGTCATTTTGTTCATCATAATTCTCACCGAGGGTTCCAGAAACAAAGGTTGTTGACATATTGAATCATTGAATTCATGTACTCATTACTGGGTCCACTGTTGTTAGCCTGGCTATCGAGCCTGAATGGGTCAACATACTCATTTAGGTTGCATAATGGTTCATAAGGCTTATCTGCAGAGATAGAGGTCATGTGAAAATGTTGTCACAGCCCAGTGGGGTGACATGGAATTAAGTTCGTGGTAATGAAGGGATTTGAAAGAGGGAAAGTATGTCAGTAATTGTGCTTTTGAGGTTGAGATGGTTTGGTTTGAGTGGATTTGAGCTACTCTGTCGGAAGACAGGCTGGGCTTTTTGAAGATGATTAAGTGATAGAGACCCTCAGCAAGGCATGTATTGATTAGGAAGAAAGCCCTGGCTGGTGTGGCTCAATTGGTTGGAGTGTTGACCTGTAAACCTAAAGGTTGTGGGTTCGATTCCCAGTCAGGGCACATACCCAGGTTGCAGGTTTGATCCCTGGTCAGGCACATATGAGAAAGCAACCAATCAGTGTTTCTCTCTCTCTCTCTCTTTCCCTCTCTTTCCCTTCCTCTCTCTCTAAAATCAATGAAAAGTGTTCTCAGGGAGGATTAAAAAAATTAAATTAGGAGGAAAAATACAGCTAGAAGAATAAAAAGGGGTCTTTTAATAATAAGATGTTTATTTAAAATTCAACATGTTAAAATTCTAAGTGTTTAGAACTGAAATGTGAGATTCCCAATATTTAACTAAAATGGTAGCTCAGTTTTCAAAAGTATTTTTACTAGCTTCATAAGGGAGAGGCCACTCCAGTCTCTCCCAGTAGAGCGCATGCACTTTGGGAGCCGTGAGGGAATGTGACAGAAAGCAGATGACCCACGGGTGCTGGGTAAGCCTTGGGCACGGGTCAGGAGGCAGCAAACCAGGACCGGTCCTGGCGGCTGTGTGAGGTCCTCCCCGCCCAGCACAGAGGGGCCCTAGTTAATTACTAACGCTGAGACCAAAGCAGGAAGTCTCTGTCTCGGGAGGATACAGAATCACTTCCCAATGACATTCTCAAGAAGGGAAAGGACATCTGTTAACCCCAGGGGGCACTGCTGCCCTGTGTGCTGTGACAGATAACCTATCTGAGTTCCAATGCAGAGGGGGAGGGCTCCTAGGTGTGGTGGCGGTCTGGAACTCTAGGGAAGTCTAATCTAGTTCTAGGCAGCTCACCTTTGAAAGGCCTGTCCTCTCGTGAGGAGTAAAACAGGGCCGGTACCGTCCCTCTGTGTCTGAGATAACTGGCTAAGAAATCCAGTCTCATGTCCAATATCTGAAAAAATACTGGGTGCTGGCGCTGTGCCCAGCAGGGTACTAGAAGCTTTGTATGTATTGTCTCATTTCTCCCTATGAACGAAATAGGGGCTGTTAGCACCCTTTCCTCCAGTCTATAAAGGGAGAAACTGAAGCCCAAGGAAGTCCAAAGAGAAAAGAGAGAAAGAGAGGAAAGGAGAAGAAAAATCTCCTGCAACATCACACAACCAGGAGAGCCGAGATTTGAACCAAGTTATTTGACTCCAAAGACGACCTTTTAACCTCACTATATCATATTATACAGAGTTGTGTTTTATCCCATTATTTCACTTTAGACAGGAAACAGAGAAGGGTTATTGCAGGAAGATAGGCGAGCAGGAATATAATACAGCCACAAACAATGTACCCACGGAAGTGAATTTTACAGGAAGGTTAGGAGATCAGAATGAAGCCGGAGCAAACAATGGTGACACAAGGAATGAAAGAGCAGCGTTTGAATCTCCACGAGGCACCTTCAGCATTTCTTAAATACTGCTACATAATCTGAAGATGCATGTGGCCAAGTGAGCGATCTCTCTAACAAGAGCCAGAGCGTCAGTGGATTTGCTGAACATCAACTTGACCTTGAAAACTACTGAACTCTAAAATTCTAAAGTTTGTATTTTGGAATCAGAATCTGGGGCAGGGGTATACACGTTGGAAGTGATTCTGATCTGAAAACCGTTAAACTTTAAAATTTAAAGAGTCAAATGGGACTTGACAAAATTTCAGATTGTTCGACAGCTCTTAAAGCCTTTCACCCAATAATACTAGTAAATGAACCAGATAAAATGCTTCTGAGAAAGCCGGCACAAGTCACCGGACCCTCTGATGGGTGAAGAAGGAAGGAAGAGAGAGACTGAGCCGAAACGGGCTGGTCCAGCCAAGGGGCCTGTTCTTCGGTGGGGCTGTTTGTCCCTGGAACAGACCATTAACCCCTTCTGAAGCATGCTGGTGTTCTCCAGCCATGTCCCCGTGAGCACGCAGAGCACACGAGAGGACAAATCGCTCCATGGCGATCCCCAGGTGCCTCGTTACAGGAAAGGCCGGCAGTGTCCCTGGCCCACCTTTGGCAGAAAGTCGGGATGAGTAACGTGAGAGAGACCCCAAAGCTCAGCCTGCACTTGGTTACTCACACGCTGCGCCGGCTGCTTGTTAATGAAAACAGGCCTCTGTCTTAGCAACGCCAGTAACTGAAGACATCTGACTGTCCCCCATCCTCGCCTACCCCACCCTGGCACGGCAAGCAAGCCTGGGGTGCGTACCCCGCCCAACAACACAGCTAGTGCGGGGTTCTCACCCCACCCCAACAACACAGTCAGCTAATGCGGGGTTCTCACCCCACCCCAACAACACATGAGCAAGTGTGTGGTTCTTATAGAGCTAATGGCAAGTGTTTTGAGTTTGCAGGCACTCTTTTCTGCTACTTGATCTCAGTGTTTTCCCTCGTTCCCACCTCATTTGTCCCTGAGCCATGTTGTCGGGAAATAAATGGTCGCAGGCACCTTATGCTGTGGGGGAGATGTTAGTGCTGGAAGAAGTAAAGAGCTCGGGCTCTGTCTCTGGGGTTCAGGTCCTGGTCCTGGCCCGCCCGTGTGGCTCGGAGCACAGGGCCATTGGGAGGATTAGATGGGGCTGTGCCTGGGCAGGGCCGGCGGCAGCCTGCCGTGTAGTGAACGGGCAATGCATACCGGCTGCCACTAGCATCCCTGCGTTGTTGCTCAAGAGGCTTTGTTCTGACGTTGGGATTGGCACATGGGAGCTCCCGGTCGTTTGAAGCTGCGGACTGCCTGCAGTTAATTAGTGTCCCCCAGGGGTGCCTGTTGGCTCATCTTCGCTAAGGGGTGGCATCTCCTTTTGAAGGAAGGCCACACTTTGTGTCATTTCTATGTTTTGATCAAGAAAGGGATTGAGAAATTGGACTTTTTGAGTGGTGGTGTTATGTGAATCCTTTCTTTTTCAATATACTCAGAACTAGGATGAGCTGGAGAATTGTAACGCTAGGAGGAAGGGCCTGTACGCAGCAGGTCTCGGGGAGGAGGGGTGGATGCCAGGAGCCCGGCACCGGTCCACGTGCACACAGTGTAAGGTCCCCAAGACTGTCCAGCTCAGAATTGCAGACACCAGAGACGCTGGCCGAGATGATTAATCTTACTGTTAGCGTGCGTCTAGTCACTGCCAGCCTTGACCTGGCCCGGTGGGTTGGCTTTCGTTGTTTCGGATGTGAATTAGCGATGCAACATCCTTGTTTTTAGAAGTTCTTTTGGCTCAGCAGCATTCACATTCAAGGCGCTAAATATCAGAAACAGTACCAATGGGGAAAAGGCCCTTCTCCTGAAGTAGAACTACAGAAGTTCCTTTCTCCAAGGAAGAGCTGTGCGGGGGAGCTAGTCCTCTGACACCACCTGGGCCTTTGGCTTTCTCCGCAGAACATCCCTCCTGCTCCTATAACCACAGGGCTCTCTCAGCAGATGTGGCAAAGTCCAGTATTGTTTTGTCTTTCTCATCCTCCCTAGTGGTTGACCAGTATTTAAACCTTATTTAAATGACTCTGTGTGGTCAGCCTCAAACCATGTAATTAATATGAGTCAGGTGTCCACAAACTGAGTATTTGTTTACACTGATAAATTCTAGCTCCTTCCTTCAACAAATATGCACGTCTTCTTTGGGCATGTACCATGAAAAATAAACCCTATGAGGGCAGAGATTATAACCACAGTTAATGAGAGAGATAGACTTCATGCAAGAAAACCAATAAACATGAAATTAGAAATTTTACTCATGATGGAGAAAATAAGAAAATCTGGGAGAAAATAATTAGAGAAACCAACTCCAGATTGGGAGATCAGGGAAGGCTTCTTTGAGGAGGTGACATTTAAGCTGCAACTGTAGAAGGAAAAAAATCAACTGAGAAAGACTGAGGATCGGGGCCTTACAGACAGAGGGGGCAGCAGGCATAAGCGCCCAGACGCAGGGCCATGCATGTGTTCAGGAGTCGTGGTGGCTCGTGAGTGACAGTCGGAGGGGAAGGCAGGGCTGGAACCCCGAGGCCCTGGGAGTTGGGGTTTTTGTTCTAAGTGGACAGTGAAGCCAAAGCAGGATGGTGGCAGTGCCAATGATGTTCTTCAAAGAGCTCTCTGTGCACGGGGCGCAGAGTGGATGTGAAGAGGGCAGGAATGAAGGCAGGAAGCCCACAGAGGAGGGGACCTGGTGGCAGTGGGGACACAGAGACTGCGCCTGGTAGTTGTGGCGATGCAGAAAGAAATGTGCATGAAGGCAGAGCCAGGTCTCAAAGGGGACAAGGACGTGAAGGTGTAAAAAGAAAAGCCCCAACCACATTCTTAAGGCTGACCGAGCTAGTTCTCATTTACCTTTCTCTCTGGCTTCTATCATCCCTTATTCAGAAAAGTCACAAATCTCTCCTTTATTAACCAGCTTAGTTTTTAGCAGAGCTTAGGGAGGCAGGCCAGCCTCGAATCTGCAACCATGGTCTGAGATCTTACTAGTCACTGTTTATCTTACAGCCCACCAGGACTTCCTCGGAAAGCATTTACTCCAGACCAGGCTCCAGTATCCCCGGGTCCCCGGGGCACACTATCTATGTAAGTATCTACTTGTGGAAGAGGTGCTTCTGGGACCAGCAAAGTAGCACTAGTGGAGTGGATAACCCGAAATAGAATAATGCAAAACGACTTCTATTTCTGGTCTGAGGTCTGGTTTTCACTTTTGTCGATGGGCCCTCTCCATCATGCTCTCGTTCAGGCACTTAAACCCATCTGTGAATGTAAGCATCAGGGGGGCGATCAAGTACATGCCCCGTGAGATGCAGTAACACAAGGCAGGACTGAAGAAATTGTTGCACCTAGCTTGCATACAGGTAGTTAGGGGTTGATTGTACACTTTATAATGCTGACACTGGATGTTCTTAAAGCCTGCCACAAAGCTATTTAAATATTTAGTTTATTAAATATGCAGTTCTTGTTTTTAGCCATCTAGGAGGATTTTTTGACCACCTCTTTGGGTTTTCCTTCTCTGGAATAAATTTAGGGAATTACCCTGAAGGTGTACAAGCTTGATGAATGCTACATAGACTTTTTCCCAAGCTTTAGGTGATATATTTTTTTAAAGTCATTAATATGTGGTATTAATGGGCCACTTTCTAGAGAGTCCAACAGTGCTAAGCAAAGTGTTTGGGTTTTATTTTTAAGGTTGTCACTTTTTTAAAGCAAGTAAGGAAAGGCACAGACAGTAAGTCCCTGAAGGTGAGATGGCAGAATAACTTGGCTCTCTACTCTTTGCCAGGCAAAAGTGGACAACGAAATCCTGGATTACAAGGATTTAGCGGCCATTCCCAAGGTCAAGGCAATTTATGACATTGAACGCCCAGACCTTATTACCTACGAGCCTTTCTACACTTCGGGCTATGACGACAAACAGGAGAGACAGAGCCTGGGAGAGGTAAGAAGTTCCTAGAAGCTGTGAGTCGTGCAGCCACTTACTTCTCTCTTGTCACATGCGTGAGAACTACTGACGGGAGTCCAGGTGAGTCAGAGGGTCCCTTGAGTTGCACACTGTTTGCAGCCTTTCCTGCCAGGTGCTTGGAGGGGCTCCACACCCTGCCCCTGCCCTCGGGAGGTCACCGAGAGGAAGGAGAGCAGGCCAGCCGCACAGAAAACAGCAGTGAAGGGCGAATACCAGTTTGTCCCAGGTGCAGGAGAGTGGAGGTGGCGTGCTGAGAAGGAAGCCATGGTTGTCAGGGGAGAGTCTGTGAGCTGTGCAGAAGGAATCGGGGGGTGGAGGGGAGGGTCTGCTGGGGGTGGGGGGTCTTGGTCTTAGAGCAAGCGGAACTATAGTAGGGATCATGAGGACAGAGAGCACACCACTGAAATTTTGATAGCCGCAGTTTTTAGCTTAGTAAGATACTTAGAATGTGCAAAAATAGGTGGGGAAATGGAGAGAATGGTGTCACAGTGGAGTACCGTGCGTGAGCCAGGGTTCTGGAATCGACTTACCTGGCTTAACCTGGGGACTCCACCTGCTGCTTGAATGACTCTGTGTGACAGCCATTCTGGTGCTAGTTTCCTCATCTGTAAAACAGGATAATGACCAAATCGTCTTCATAGGCTGAGACAGTAAGGATCAAATCAAGTATCAATTAATTATTTTATATATATGTAAGTATCTAGATATAAATTTATATAATATACCTAGATAACTTATTATCTAGTAAAGCTGATGGATGTGAACTCATGTATTCGAGCAGCTAGCAGAGAGCCAGAATTGTGGTGAAGGGTCAGCAAACGGCAGCTATTCCCGCTGTCGGTGCCGGTCCCCTTGGGGTTTGTCGGTGCTCTTGCGCCCGACCCTCCTGCAGCGGGGCCAGGGCCTCTGCGTCTGAGGGGTCTCCTCGTCCCCTTTCAGGGTGGGGAGTTGCCTGCTGTCGCTTCCTGCTCGGGTCCCCTGGGCTCTTTCCCCCTGGCCTAAATTATTTTTCCCCTCTAAATTCTTCCCCTCTTACATTTTAATTGGAATCACCTGTAGACTAACTTGAGCCCACTCAGAGATATGTCACTCAGGCAATGGTCTGAAATCAGCTGTTCAACCAGAGTTAAAACAGACTGCAAACTACAGAATGTCACACCATGCTTTGAGATCTTAGATGAAGAAAAGGCATGAAAATATGTTGATTCTGTTTCATTTGTTCACAGTTATATATAATATTTACTTTACATTTATTTGTAGGTGTAACTTTTTTTTTTTTTTAATTTTCCGATCTGGGTTTTTTACTCCAGAGAATAGCTCTGCATTGCAATGGTCCATTGGGCTGTGAAGAGATATCTGTTTTCATGTACTGCCACCTGCTGGTCGCATTGCTGTAGCTGCATCTGCGGCTGCTCAAATGCAGGTCTACTGGCCTGAGTTACTGGGTTGCTATCGGACTCTGCAGAGTTGAATAGGGGAAAAGGGGAAAGGGAGGTTCCTGAGCCAGGTGCACAGGGGCTGATCCTGGAGCAAGTGGATGACAATTTTCTAGTGTTAAAGTCATACAAGCAAGGGGAGAGTGTACGGGGTTTGGGGTTGTACCTTTCTGTGTTTCCCGGGGGCTGCATTTGGGGCAGTAAAATGTAAGAACGCAAGAGCTTGTGCTTTGAATGGAACATTTCTGGGTTTGAAACCGGTCTGATATTGATTTGCTTACCATAAGACTCTGGGAAAAATCACATATTTCAGCCTCCTTATTTGTAAACTCAAGATGGTAATAACATCTTAGAGGTTTTCTGTAAGAATTAAGTAAAACATTGAGATTACAACAGCAATACCTGGCACATAATTAGAGCGCGACAAAAATGCTGGCTGCTGTCATAGCCAGCATTGTTATTGTCGTAACGGGGAGGGGTCCCCCGATCAGAAATCAGGCATGTTAATGAACTCTTCCTGGCACGTGGATCTGCTAACAGAAAACTTTGTTTTCCTAAGCTATTTGACTATGTATTCCTTTTGTTACTAACGCTTTTCTCATGGGATCCTCATTAACATTGCCACGTTAGAAACACCGCAACTTGGAACTCTGTGTGCCCTCAGAAAGCAGGAGTGGGGTGGCTCCAGAAGCCGCTCAGCAGGGGCAGGCCTGGCTCCTGCCCCAGGGAGCCCCTGAGGCAGCCGCAGCAACAGGCAGGTCACAGGGCTTGAGGAAGCCTGGAGCACCAGCAAGTTTGGAGGATGGGGCAAATTCTGAAACAAGGAAATCCACCACAGGGCATGTTCTTCAGGATGCTTTGTTTGCTTCATTTGTAGTTAAAGTCGTTTTGCACTTTCATTGTAAACATTCCATTCTTTTACTTAGGAAATCTCGGTTGAGCCCTTCCAGTACACCAGGAGCGGCTGTAGTCCCTGGGAACACTTAGCTGCAGCTGAGTGGAGTCCTCACCCTCCTGGAACGTACAGGGGGGGCAGGCGGACAGACACGCCGTCTCGTTTCACAGGGCGATGGCGCTATGAGGAAACGGAACAGTAGGGAGAAGGCTTGCTGCTGTAAACAGGAGAGTCACAGAAGGCACCACGTGGTGGTGCATTTCATAGAGACCTCCCTGCAGATGGGGCGTGAGCCCGGCTGGCAGAGGGGACAGAGAGGACACATGGCCCATGGCCCACGGGTGGCCCCTGGGAAGCCTGTGTACCTGGAAGGCTGGCAGCCTGCAGGTGAAAGGTGGTGAGGCTGGCAGGGCCGCCAGGACAGGGTGCCACAGACCCGGGCGCTGCAGGCCTGTTGTAGTCATCAGACTGTTTCATGTGATGGCTGTGGTTATAACTTAGTCAAGGATCGATCGTGTTTGCAAAATGCAGCATTTGGGCAGACACTGGAACTCCTAAGTAGTAAACAGCATAGTTGGACATACTAGAGGACATAATTCTGATCTGTCTAGTTCACTCACCTAGAGCATCACAGCCATGTATCAGAACCCCTGGTTCTCAGGCAGCGACATGCGCCCGGTCACCCAGGAGCTCCGTCCGTGTGTGCCCATCTGAGCCCCGCTCTCAGGTTCCGCATCAGGGCACAGGCAGGGGGTGCTGGCCTGCGGAGGTTCAGTAATGTCTCCAGGTGATGCTGAGAAACACCAGTAATCACAACTGATAGACAAATACACATTGTGATTTTAAATTCTCTTTTATTCTTCTAGTCTCCAAGGACTTTGTCTCCTACCCCATCAGCAGAAGTAAGTACTGTTTTTGAAAATTATAATAAGTAGAACTGGGGAGTCACTTGGATCTTTCCTAGACTGGGCTTTTGGAGGAAGGACAGTAACTAAAAGAACAGAAAAGCTGTGTGCAAGACCAGGATGAATGTAGGACTCCTCACATGTAAGATGTGACCGTCAGACACAGCAGGAAATTCCTCTTTCAGTGGAGTCCGGGGGGGGTACAAACAGCCAGACCCGGTCTGAGTCCTGTATGTAATTGATTTGGATTAGTATTCTGGTAATTACACTGGAAGCTGTGAAGAACTTCCACTATTGACCAGTGGCAAGATTCGGGCACGTTAGTTGGGGACTTTTTGTTTCGTTGTTGCTTTCATTGGATTATTGTTCCAGCAAGCTGGGATCAGACCCAGGCCTCTTTGCCATTTGCTGCCCACTTTCACACAGCCACGGTTCCCGAGGTTTTAAAATAGTCCCCTTTCACACTTGCTTCCAAACGCACATTGTGTTAGCCAAGACCTCAGTGGTCAACAAATGCCTAAAATGTAAACCATTCTAGTACTCTCCTAAATCTTACATATTATGTTTACATGTGATTTTTTTGTATTGAATACCTAACGTATTTTCTAGATTTGGACCCAGGAGACATGCCAGTGGTGTTATTACATTCCATTGAATTGATGCTTGTCCTAATTTACTTAGATCCCAATTCATTAAGCATGTAATGCAAAGCTTTGTCCTCATGCGTGGTGGCATTATTTATATCTTTGAATAAATTTTTCCATTTAAAGATCACTTTTTATTAATTCCTTGGAACATATTTCCCAAAGTGGGAAGTAGCATTCCTTCCCAGGTTTGAGGCCACCCCCAGCTTGTTCACCAGGAAAACCAGCTTAAAATGTCACCAGGTCAATGTCATGGGGATTAAGCGGGCTCTGCCTGTACAAGCTACGCATGTGCACACGGGTCTCTTACCTGCTCGGAACCTTCCGAGACATTCCTCATTTGTGGGAAAGGGAGGTAAGAGCACGCATCCTACCTTCCTTACCATGCAGATCTGATGAAGCAACATAGGTGAACGCACTTTATAAAACCCAAACGCCCCATATAAACATAGTCATCGGGGTTATTCCCTCTTACCCCAGAGCTCTATCAACATTGGAGTGTATAATTTTTCCATGTTAAAATTTCGGTAAAAGCAAGTGCTAGATAGAGGTCTTGAACAAGATGCACTGACCACAGAGTGCTCCTTTGCACAATATCTAAGGAGTGTGGCCCTAAAATGTGATCACAAATGAGCAGGTGGGCATGACAGCCCCCGGGTGACTTCCGTGGAACTCACTATCACTCAAACGCGATGATAGCTTTTGTGCTCACACTTTGCCTCATTGCGTTTCCAGGGGTACCAGGACGTGCGGGACCGGGTGATCCACCGGTCCACCAGCCAGGGCTCCATCAGCTCCCCCGTGTACAGCCGCCACAGCTACACTCCAACCACATCCCGCTCTCCGCAGCACTTCCACAGACCTGGTAAGGGCCACTGCCCCTGGCTTCGCTCTGCAGGGCGGCCTGTGTTTCTGGGAGGCATCTCCCCCAGCCCTGAGAGCTGGCTGCCTAATACATACGTACCCCTCCTGCAGGAAAGGAAAAAACAAAGAAAACTCATAACGAACTACAGTTTGTGTTATATACCTCTTCTTGAAACAGTTATTTTATGCTTATATTCATTATGATTTCTTAAATGATGACATTTTGACAGGGAATGACTAGAAACAAAGGTTTGCGGGGGTTGTTCTTTGTTTGTTTTTTGGTTTTGAACAAAATCTCATCACTTTTAGACTTAAAACGAAGGTCTCCAAAAGAAAATAGTTTGATATGTGTTTTAGGCATGCCAGCATTGTCTAGAGACCCAGTATTCGCCCCTGGTTGACGGTCCGGTGCGTTTCCCTTACCCAGGCCGGTGGTGGTAGCCAGCACACCAGGTTAAGCTCGTCCTGGAATAAAGTATGGTACACAAGCTCAGGGTGTTTGTAACTTTCAAGACCCATTCCAACCCTGAGACTTTGGATCAGGTTTGGGATACATAAAATCATCAGAGAGGTGCTGTGGTAGAGAGTGTGAACTAGTAGTGAACTTCAGTGGACCTGTTCTGTGTGGAATTTGGTCCCTATTTGTGGGTGTCTCATACGTGGAGTCACAAAGGAAAGGGGAGTCCCAGCACAGACCCAGAATTCCCTGGGAAATGGATTCACAAAGGAAGACTTGGGCCCTTTAACCTAACTCAGTGGAAATAGCGTACACCTATGAAAACTTCATTTTAAGCTCCTTGCTTCTACCCAGGCTGATGAGAACACACCCACTTATTTGCTAACTTACTTTACAAAGTAAAACCAAAAGAAATGAATAAAATGGTAAAGGGCTGCAAATATTTTCTTTAAAGCCATAGATTTAATGCTCATAGAGGATTGAATTTTTACTATTTGATCTTTTAATAATGTCTACTTTTCTCTGGGCTCATAAATATTTACTCAGTATTTGTTGAGTTACACTTTCATTTTAGAGTTAGTGAGAATGTTCAGGAAATGGATTCCTTTTTCTTTTTATGCACAACTGTATTTCATTCGTGCCCTGGACCCGGGTCTGGATTTAAGTCCTTGTCTATTTTGGGTGACGAGAAATCCTTTATGCTGCCAGCCCTGTGTTTGGGCACGTCCCTGAGGTCACTGAGACCCCAGCCACGGCCTTGTCAGAATGACCTGGGTTTGCCGGGAAATTGTCCCCGAGACCTCTGAACGGTGAGGGCATGGCAGTCGGGGACAGTGTCTTCCTGGGCGGTCCTGTCCCAGCTGAGCACCGGGAAGTTCCGTCCATCCCAGTTGAGGTTCTCCCGTCAGTAACCTTAGAGATTCCTTGTTCTAAGCATCCTTCCTCCTCTTGCTCCACAGCATGCTACAGATGCACACGATGCCAATTAGTGGGGTTTATAAATATTTTTTGAGGACTACACCTGTGAAGTGAAGCTGGCGGGGTTCTGATAGCCTAGTTGTGGTCTGTAGAGAGCACCCCAAATTTCCCACTCCATGAGTTCTAGACACCAGGTGGTAATGCGCTTCCCCGGGCCTGGGTTGTTAGCTTTAATGTGCAGTCTCCTTCCGAGAGAACGGTGCTGCCACCACCCAGGTCTCAGGGCGACAAGCAGCTCTTTGACACCAGGGAACACAAAGAGGGTTGGGTTTTTTGTTGTTGTTCTATGTAAGCAAAATAAAATTAAACTTCCAGTGGGAGAAGTTTGCAGCTTACAAAAAAGAATCTGACCCTTACCTCTAAGTCCTTCTTTTCAAGGTTCTTAAAATGACCATCATTTTTTTTTACATGTGTTTCAGAGGGTTCTGGTTTGTCGGTCGCTTTTTAAAAACAGCTGTCTTTGAGTGACAAGGATATCCCCGGCACTGGCTGACCGGTAGCTGGTGTCCTTCTGACAAAGGGTGTCCTGGTGGCCTTTCCTTCTCGCTAAAGCCATTTATTCTCAGCGAGTGACTCTGTACTGACCTGAACCTCTGTGTTTGCAAACTCTCCCCACTTGGCCTAACCCTGCGCAGGTGCATTCTTAACCCTTCTGCCTTCCTCCGTTTTCAGACTCCTGATTAACCGTCTTTATTTTTCCCGCTTTGTTTGGAACGATGCCGTGGTCCCTGCTCCCGTGTTAATTTCTGTTCTTCTTTTCTGTCTCCACCCCGCCCCGCCCCCGACTCCCTGCCGCACAGAGCTGCTGTCTCCTGGTGTGCAGAGGTTGTCCCACCTGCGCACCAGCAGCCTCAGCTCCGCCCACAGCGACTCCCGCCCCAACTCCCCCTTCCGACACCACTTCATCCCCCATGTCAAAGGTAAGGAGGCAGGCTTCTCCAGGCAGCACCCCGCATAGTGGAGATTTATTAGCACCCCGGGAAGGCTAATAAGGTGTATCTCCAAGAGTCAGCTCCGAGCTTTCGACCTCTCCGCATGCCTGCGTGTGCCATGACTGTACCGAGCGGTGACTTAGAACTGACGGGGCCTCTCTCGTTAGGAGACACGTGTCATTTCTAAGGGCTCTCGCTGAAGAAACAGGAAGTATGTCTCAGACCGTGAGACTTGCCATCGACTCCTCGGAAAAATATATATTATTATTTTGTGTTTCTGTGTGTCAACAGCAAAATATAATATATAGCTGGGTATTTGCCTGGTTTTAATATGTGATGTGACTCAGCAAAACCCAACAGTATTTAGCAATAGCTATTCACAAATTGCCTTACTGGTGAAGCCTCTTAACCACTTGACAACATTAAAACGTTGGGACCGTATGAGAAAGCTCTCTGGACATGTAACTTAAAGCTCTCGGTTTGAGCTGAGGTAGTCATCTCCTCTGAACTGGTCCCGATTCCCTGCCCCACAGCTCTGCCCGTTCCCTGGGTGGCACGCCCACTCTCCCCTTCATTGGCCAGCACGCCTCTGGGTGTCGGGGAAGCCCAGAGCCCCAAAGGGGTAGGAAGTAAATGAAGTAAGTGTGCGCTCCCAGAAGGATGTTAGCTTTTTCCGCAGTCTCCATGTGAACCAAATGAACCCATGAAAGTAGCTGAAAAGGGAGGGACAGGCAAGCGCAGATGTCGTCAGGGCTCTTAAGCCAGTCCTTGAGGACTCGAACCCTGAGTTCCAAGCACTCACATGACTAGCAACTCCATCCTGTGGCCTAAACGCCGTTGTTGCATCTGGAAGATCACTTGCAGTCTACCCAAGCTATTTGCTCACTTGGATTTTTGAGCAACTGAATACAGATGCGTTGTGCTGATGAGCATGCAGTCATTTCATGTGTGCTATTTTGGCCTTTCCTGTGCTGGGAAAATGATATTGCTGACATGCTTATTGAAGACACGCTATTTCCATGAGCAAAGAGATCAGTCTTTTTTGGTAGATGCAGCACTTTCTAAAATTCTTGACAGATCATTTAAAGTGATTATTGCTAGTGAGTGTTTTGGAGGAAAAAAACCCTTTATCTAGATGTCAACATGATGACTTAGACAACGTTTATAAAACTGTATGACATATTGAAAAAAACCTTCAGAGGTATATTTTAAAGAGACTTTAATACAGAAGCCCTTGGCCAAATCAAAATTTTGCTTGCTTGTTTCTAATATACAAGAGAAAATACATTGTTAATCCATGAAAGGTCAACTGCCACGTTTGGTTGGGCTTCATCTTTCAGAAGACATACCATTTTGTTGAAAGAAAACTGTCACATGCCCTGTAAAGTTATACAAAGTTTGTGCAAATAACAGATCACAAGAACATCAAGACTTACCATACCTTATGTCAATGAGCCACCTTATGGAGAGATGGATGGGACACCCACGTGGACACTAGAGTCCTGGGTTTGAGTACCATCTCTGCCACTTGCTAGCTGTGGGACCCTGCATTGTTGACGCAACTCTGGGAGTGTCACCTCATCAGGGTGCTCTTAAAGCGCTTCCCATCATCCCATTTGCTCATTGCAGCATCCCTGCAAAGTAGGCCCCAGTAGGCCCAGGTGGAGGCAAAGGGGTGAGGCTCAGGTCCAGCCACCCAGCCGAGGGCTCGCAGCCAGGAAGTGGCACCTGCAGGACCAGACCCCAGGCCTGCCCACCCCTCGTGCAGATTCTGTGTGTGCTTTTCAGTACAAAATATACATGGAGTGTGAGTTTCCAAAGCAAACTTTTATTTTCCACCTCTTTTTCACTAGAAAATTGCATTCTTATGGAGGGTAAGACAAACAGCTACTTCAGTCAAGTAAATGACAAAATTAACAATTTCTTACTTTTCAAAAGAAGTATCAGATAGTTATAAACATTACGGCACCTCTGTGTGCCTCAGTGGCGCTTCATTTAAAAAACATGGATATACTTGGTTTTCTGTTTTCAGTCTGAATTTGAAGTTTTTGCCTCAAATATTATGGATTTAAATTATAAAAAACAATTAGGCCAAGAGGGATTGAACTTATACTTAAAAACCATTTAATAATCTCTTTCCCCTTTTCTTTTCACTGGAGGTACACCTAGAGTTTGTTCGCATGAAATAGTTCATATGCCTCAGACAGAAAATACAATGCACATCATAGCATATGCTTAGTTTTAAAGTCACATGAGCTTTCTGCTAAACTACAACTTGAATCATGGAGAATTTGCGTATTAACCATGTTGCTTTAAAAGCCTAATGTCATTGAATGGCTAAATGCTGGTTCTCCAAAGAATGTTGTCTTGGTTATTGTGAAAAACGTGCACCCATTTACGAGGCAGGCAGACCTCTCCAGCGTTTGGAAGTTTCAGAATGGAGGGAACTTACAGCCATTTGAGGAACACACGGGCAGAGTACCCCAGGTTTCCCGTGGCCCTTCCCTAACCCTAACACGAACAATTGCTCTTTATCTTGGAGCTGGTGTTGTGGTCTCAGGGCACCTTTTGAAACAAGTGTAAGCTGGAGGGCTCGAGGCCCCCCCCACCCTCCCCGGGTGGGATGACCATCTCAGGAAGGCGGAGCTAGAAGTGTGAGGCCCTTGCCTCTCTGCAGCCCAAAGCCCAGCCTCCCACTGCCCCAGCCCACTTCCTGGTCCTTGTTTCTCGTGCACGTGGCCTGTCCTCAGGGTCGGCGGAGCTGAGGGTGCCTGCATGGGTGTGAGGCTGAGATGCACATCACGGGCTGGCTCTGTCTCCTCGCCTTCCCCACCCATTTTCTGTGACGTCTGCCTTGTTTTCGAGTGCGTCTTGATTTCTGTCTTCCGACCTTCCTTGCGGCTTCATCCTTCATTGACACGTTGTTGCTGCTGGACCGTTCGGGCGAGTGCATGCCTGGAGACTTGGAAGAACTACTTCCACTTTGTCTTGGGATCTGTTTGTGCTGTGCTTTCTGAGTTTCTCTTCCCTCCCCTCTGAAATACTGTTAGACATCACATTCTGTGTCCATGAAGTATAAATCAAACGAGTTGCTGTGGTTCAGATAAGTATTTGACACTCACTGAGGGAAACCATGGCGCTTATGGAAGCTTGATTTTTTTTTTAAAGATTTATTTATTTACTTATTTATTAGAGGGGAAGGGAGGGAGAAAGAGAGGGAGAGAAACATCCTTGTGCAAGAGAAACATCATCGGTTGCCTCTCACGTGCCCCCAAACCGGGGACCTGACCCGCATCCCAGGCATGTGCCCTGACTGGGAATCAAACCTGCCACCCTTCAGTCTACAGGGCAATGTCCAACCCACTGAGCCACACCGGCCAGGGCCACGTATGGAAGCTTTAGACAAGAACTAGCAATCTTGAGACTCTGTCATGAAATTCCAGAGGCTGCCAATTCCAAGGTCCCCTCAAAATGTTCATTTGTATTTTGGAATGTGAGCAATTGGAGCCCAGAAAGCTAAGCTCCAGCAGGTTCCCACAGGAGACGCAAGCGCAGCCGTTCCCACTGAGTCCCTGTCTTAGAATCTGTCACTTAGACACACAGGCCACCAAAAAGAAGAGTGAAAGTGAAGACAGAGCTTTTGAGTTTGTTAAGTAAATACAGTGAGAATTCTGCGCGTGAATGATCTTCCAGGGACTGAAAACGGGCTTATTAGATTGATGTAGGAGGAGCTACAACTGAAAGCCAAAAGAAATATACATATACATATATAAAATTTTTAATATGGTAGCGTCTCATCACAATAGCTAAGATCACTAACAACTTAGAGCGAACCAGTATGAGAGTTTATTTAATGGAACAAAATGACTATGAGTGTGGGGCACAATATTATATGATACACGCTGTCACATTATTTGTCAGCAATGTCTTAAGTCTGGGCGGGTAGATGATGATGGTGATACCTTCCATACAGGCTATTTCATCTGATGCCTCATGCATGACTTTACCTAAGTAACGAACTCAGCACAAAAGCAACCTCTTAGGGCCCTCATCGGTTCTTTCTTCCCAGGATAGAGTTAAAAGTTTTTACCACTTGAAGTATTTAAGTTAGCAAGTTTGGAAACCGGTGTTACTTTGAGAATTTTTCTTTTTCTTTGAAAAATGTCAAAATTTTGTAATGCCTTTTTGATGTTTCAAGGGCTAAGAGTATGGTACCTGGCAGCATTATGTATTGTCCCCAGACCTTATTCCCAATGAGCCCTAGCGACACGTGGAAATCAGACTGTGCAGAATCACTTAGGCAGGCACGTGGTTGAGTCACTCTTTACCGAGCATTTTAAAATGTTCTGTGGGTGGTTTTAAATGATGATAGAGTCAAGTCTACTTGCAAAGGCTTGGACATACTAGTGCCTTGTCTAGGAACTGGAAATGTCAATGGTTGCTGAAGCTATGCAGCCAAATAAAGAACCACGCCCAGCCGGGGCCATGGGAAGTCAGAGAGCTGCCCACTGCATCCTGACGTGATGGGCTTCTACCTCCAGGCACCGACAGAGCACCTTAATGATAGATTTTTAACACCTGGGCAAGTGCCAGTTCCAGCAACCTTCAACCTTTGTGTCCCATGTACGCAGACATTTGTATGTGTGCATGACACTGGCTAATAATTATCTTCTCATTGGACATTATAACCAAAACCCGTGCAGACATTGCCCCGAAATACCAGACTTGGACAAGTACAGGGGCGTCCGCGGTGGAGGGTGCAGGGCAGGAGCAGCGGGGCCAGGAGCAGCCAGTGCCCCGAGTCAGCGAAAGAGTCTTCAGAGGACAAGCCCAAAGGAGGGCAAGAAAGTTGAGTCTGTCTAGAACTTCTTTGGGGAATAGCCCACAAGAGTTACTTTGTTTTTCAGTTATGGGTTGCTCTTCTGAGTAATTCCTAGTGTTTATAGGAGGAAAGGATTCTTCTGAAATGGAACAATTAAGTCAGGGTTATTGAGGAGCGACTCCAATAGGAAAGCTATAAAAATGGGGTGGGACTGTGAGCCCATTGCTGCCTGTAATTAGGAGAAAGCGGGCGGTTAACCCTCAGTGACGCTGACTGCGTTAGGCCGTTAATAGCTGCGGGATTCATTCGTCGGCCTCCTTCATTACTCACTACCAGGCATTTACCAGGCATTTACCAGGCACTCAACCTTGGCCAGGCGCTATGCCGAGCACACGGGCATGAATGAGACCTTGTTCTAATCCTTCCTTAGATTTAAAATAGGATTTTCTTCTAAACGTAAACCATATTCTTCCTCCCCCTTCTTGCCTGTACCTGTGTTAATTATACTCATTTTTTTTAGACATGAACTGGTTACTTCTCTTTAGGAGAGTGATGGTGAATGAGAGAACATTTTTTGAAATGAACTTTTTAACAGATCAGCAGTTTGGAGTGAAGCCTCGTAACTTTTAGGAGCTACTATCTGACTTAAGTAAGGAAGTCTATACTACACTGGGAGCCAGATGCAAAGGTGACTTGAGGAAAAAAAGACAAAAGTTTCAGAATGTGAAAACCAAAAACCTCGAATATATATTTGAGCCAGTTAACAAATTCATGTCTTATACCTGAAATATCTTACTGCCTATCTGGTGTAGATCTGTGATCTAGTTACCTAAAAATATACATATTTAGAAATTAAAATGTTATGAAACATATTATTTTAAAACTCCAGTAGTTGACATATTTCATTTTTTGCTGGCCACATATAGAACAGTTTAACCTACATAAAGAAATTGACTCTGGTACATCTAAAACTAATGTGATGTTATATGCCAATTATATCTCATTTAAAAAAAACAGAGTGGAAAAAATTGGCTCATACTCTATTTTTTGAAAATCTATAATTTATTTAAAATTGTCCCCACTAACAAACACATAAATTGGTCTTTATCAAAATTTAAAACTTGTGCTTCAAAGGATACTATCAAGAAAGTTAAAGACAACCCACAGAATGGGAGAAAATCTTTGCAAGTCATATAACTGATCAGGGACTGGTGGCCAAAATATGTAAAGAACACCTACAACTCAATCATAACAGTAATTGCACTACTAATCATTAACGTCTGATAGTCCTACATCTCTGGTGTGTTCTTGGGGCAGGCGTTTGCTCAAACGTGGGGGAGGGGGCCATTTAGAGCCGTAGCGGATCTCTTTCCAGCTCCTCCCCATTCCAGTGCACCCCTGCAGTTCTCAGGGTCAGAAGGGAGGGATGGTGGCTTGGTGGCACCCAAGGCTATGACAGCCAAGCCCCAGCAATCCTCTCTTCCAGAAACACCATGCTCTCCAGCCACAGTGGCCAGTCCTGCCGTCCCCACTCACCACGGCCCTTTCACCCCTCCTTCCTTACGGTGTTCCATCCCTTTGGAACCTGAGCCCACCACCCACCTGGCGAGCTTACTCTTCCATGCCCTGCTCAGTTCTAATAGCTCTCTGTAGCTTCCCTGAAGAATTGATGGTGCACACCTTTATCTGATGCCTTAATTTGTATGTGTCTTAAGTCTGTCTCCTTAGGTAGACCCTTGAGGGCAGATACTAAACCTCATCTACTTATCCTCGATTACAACTCAGGGCCCAGCATAGCAGGTGGTCAGTAAATGTTGCACTGGTGCAATTGTTAGGCTGGGGGGAGCGTCATCTTTGAAGAGCAAAATGGAAAGAGGTGTACATGGCCCCACGGTACCTAGGAGAAAGGGGTCTGAGCCATCTGGTGTGTTTCCAAGTGAGGAAACCGAACATAATGCTGCAATGAAGGCATCCTGTGTTGCTAAGGGGAAGGACTGGGCGACCACACCGGTTCCCAGACTCAGCCTTCCATTCAAAGAAATGCGTTCCAATCACCAGCCTCTGCCATCATGCCTGGATTGTATTTGGGTTTGCATAGCCCAGTCTTTCACATGCTTGGGATTTTAACCATCTAACAGCTGATCCCCAAATCATTAGCGAGTGCCTTTCCATTCCTCTTAACGAACTTCCCATCTGACCTGCGTGCTGCCTGCTCACAGCCCCCCACCACATGCCATTGGAATGACGCATCTTACTGCTGGCTGCTTGAACCTCGTTATCTGAGCTCAGATCTCTCGGAAAACTAAACCCTATATCACCTTTGCGAGCCAAGTTGATAAGTTGAGTTTGTTTCTTTTGGTCCTCTTCTTTAATGTACCTCCTCCCCGTTTGTTGTTTTGAATTTTTATTAGCACGCTTTGTTTTCTTTATTGCTGTCCCTCCTCTCATTTTGTTTTCTCCATTCTTCTCATTGGAGGCAACGAGCCGTCCAGCGGCCGGAACTCCCCTCTCCCCCACCGGCCAGACAGCCGCCCTCTAACTCCAACTTACGTTCAGGCCCCTAAACATTTCCATGTTCCAGGTAGGAGCTGACACGGTCTATGTCATGGTGTCCTGTCACAGTGTAGAATGTAGCCTCGTCATCTCTGTCTCGTCTCCATTTCTCATGCTTTTCAAATTGGGATGCACACCGTTGACAAACCCTAAATTGCAGGATCCGACCTAGGGGGACTTTGAAAAATTTTGTATGTGAAATGCCAGGATTGTATTGACAGCTTAAGTTTTCAAAAAAAAATCTTTTGAAGGGGCGTGAGAGGCAGAGAGTGAAGGAATGAGGGTGGGGTTGTTTTGTTCATGCTAAAATTTTGATTTTACCTTTAAATCAGTGGCTTCTAAGATATCACGCTGTGGTTGGTGTCATTGACTAATGATCCCAGTGGCCATCAGCTACCTTTTCATTCTAAAGATTGAACCACAGCGTCCCTCCAGAGTAGTTTTATTTTTCCTGTTTGCCTCCAACATAGAGATTCTTTCCATGGACTGTTCAGAGCAGTGCAGACTGGAGTTGGTTGAGTGGTCTTTCTGCAGTGCAATACTAACCAAGCAACCCCGGAGCCCACAAAGATATCTTGCAATTTAGGCTTGGTGCTGCCAGCTTCACGCTGCAGTCACAGGCATTTGCTGTCACAGCACAAATAGTCATTTGCCAGCTGGAACTGGAAAAATCAGAACCCATCAATACATAACGTTCAGGGTCAGCTCAATTCGTAAAGACATGATTGGCCATCAGAAGTCACATATTGTTTTTCCACGGGAAGTCCATTGTTTTGCTCCTTTTAGCTGCTGAAACCATTTTAATCAATAACCCACTATGTTAATGTTAGAATACATATTTGGAATCTGTCATTATTTTTTTTCCTTTTGCATTCCAAACCGACCTCATAAAACAGAGGAAACTTCAATGAGATTCATGCCACTCAGATAGGAAAAAGTTTCACTGAACCTTGAACATCAGGGTTACACAGCTGAGCCCCCTCAGTGGGTGAGGAACGCCCCACCGAGATGCAGTGCCCACGGTTCTGCAGCAACAGCCGCTGGATTTCCTGAGTATTTGCACTCGCAGTGAAATGGTAGCACAATCAAATGGGGCCCTGTGTAAATATGTGAATAATATTTGGCATCTCAGTACTTTTCTTTATTTTTTAAAAAAAATTGGCCTGTAGAAATTAGGATTTTGTCAAACATCCTGGTAGCACAACAGACGAGCCTTGCACGTAAAAAGTGTTTCTGTGTTTTAAATAAATACTCTTAATTTGACTACATTGCTTCCTACTGTTCCACTCATTAGTTGAAAAGCAAATTGAGCCACTAGTATCTACTGGGAGCTCAATTTCTAGACAATAGCAATTTGGGGATTTCCCCCAAACTGGTTATGTCTTCCTCACCGTAGAGTACCGCCACTGCTTGCATCTCCTCCCGTTCAGTCCCACTTTTAGTGAAGTGTGTATTTGAAATAAATGGCTCATGAATTAACGACATCTCTATATATCCTACGATGTATTACAAAGGAGTTCACATCACCTGTCTATAGCAATTCGCTCATTCCCGTAATCTCTTCTCCCAGTAACTCGCTCTTTGTAATACAAAAGTCGACCTTCTGGGTTATTTTTGTTCAAGAGTCTTCAGTTGGTTTGCCTCTTGGTTGATCTGTTTTTCCCATCGCTGAACCGGTTCCCATAATCACACACCTTTGCTTTTCATTTCCACAGATCAAGGGATCAACATTTACCGAAAACCACCCATCTACAAACAGCATGGTAAAACCCGCTTTCCCTCGAGTTTGCTTTTGAGTAGCCGCGTCGGCTGAACTTGTCTTTGCTGTCCTCTGAAAGGCTTATCTGGGGCTGCTTTTGAGACTCAAACTGGGGCGCCCGGCAAATTATGCCTTGACGTTCTCCCGAGATGCAAATACTGTGAAATTGGTGTCCCTAGACGCAGGACACTTGCTTGGTCAGGAAGCTCCCAGCCCATCTCTGAGCCCAGTGAACCATGTGTCATTCCGTTCATTGAGAAGGGAAAGTGAGGGCCTCACCATGATTCACAAACAGCCTAACGAGACTGTTTTTTTTTCCTTTGCCGTTATATAATTTTACCAACCTCTATACCAATTGGATCAGCTTACAATTGGTTTAGTTAAAACTAGTGAAAGCCAGCCACCTGGAAAAATCAATTTGACTAAGCCGGCATCGGCGTGGCTGTTCAGTTCCCTAGTTTCTTATGGCACCCGAAGACATCTATGCCCTGGCGATGGCGTGGATGGAACCCACGCCAACGCAGAGGTCCTGGCCCTCGTCCCGTCTGGTCACCTAAGTGGCTCTGTGATTTAGCTTGTCGTGCGCACAATTTCTCTGACCTTCAGTTTTCTCACCTGCAAAACCAGTGAGTTAGGCTGGTTTGTGCCTGAGATTCCTGCAAACAAAGAACCACTGATGTGGATTTCTAATTGTGTTCTCCTTTTCTGGGGTTATGGAATTTTGAAACCCAGGAAGTCACATTATGACCTGTAAATTACATTTCCCTCCACCATCATTAGGTCTCTAAAGATCTATCTGCCCTAAATCTTGGTGAATGGGCAGAGAAAACCAGGACGGGTCCTCAGGTGATTTCAGAAAATTATACACAAGTTGCGCCTGGAAATTTGAAGGCTGCCTTTAAAATGCAGTTGACATTAACAGGTCCTTAAGGATCAGGATGATGTGAAAAGCAAATAAAGTTAAAAAAGCACAGGAAAAACATTTAGGCCAGCATTCTAGGGGAAAAGAGACACTGTATGCATTGTAATGGTTGTGGAACTATAACTTTCTTCCTCATTTGTTATTTATTTATTTTTTAATTTTACACCATGTGCTTGCTTTTTAAGTTTGTTAACATTGTTTTTGTTTGTTTTTTATGGTTTAATGTCTTCTCACCCACTCATTAACATGTGAATGTTTACTGACTTCACCAATTCTAATGAGTAAGTACTGTTTGAAGTCATGCTTTTAATTTTTTTAACTTAAGAATAAGATTCCCAGAGTTTGATTTCTCAGTGTAGAGACTCTTTTAAATACTAAAATCTCTAGGCCCTGCCTCTCTAAACAAAAATAATCAAACAATTACGACTAAAGATTGGATAATGTTAGGTCATTTGTTTGGAAGGGATTAATTGGCTTCCTGAAATTCACTCTGACTTCGACTCTTTCCTTTCTTTCAGACTGTGCTCGCTCATTAAGACTAGCACATCCAAAGCATCACTTCCCAAGGGCTGTTCTGCAAAACAGGGCTCTGTGTACCCTGATGCATTTGGGAAAATGCTCGATTTAAATGAAGTCACACTTTATTGTTTATTTTATTTTATTTTTTAGTAGCGCAGAACTCAATCCTTAATACACTAACCCATGTTGTTCTTCTCTAAGAAGAGGATACGTTGTGCAGTATTTTCTCATGAGATTAATGATTCAGAGAAACCTGTTCCAAACCAGGCTAAGACCTCATTCCTTATTATGACAAAGGACGACCTTGGTCAAGTCACTTAGGCAGATTGTGACCTGGAAGTTTTCTATAGGATCCTGAAAATTCTTTTCAGGTTTAAAAATCTGGGAACCCAGGGAGGAGGGAAGTTTGATTTAAGGCATTATAAATACATTTGGAAATGTTTACTAACATCCCAGGTCCCTTGGCAGAATTAGCCAGAATTAGGATCTGACGGTTTATTCCGGTCTGCTCTGCTCCGTCTCTGAGTTTAGGCTCGGGGCTCTGAGCCGACGACTCCTCCTCTGGCAGCTCGCCATGCACCAACTCGGCTGCTGGTATGGCGTTTGTTGATTTAAAGTCGGATGACATGCTCCTGTGTGCAGACCCTTGAACAAAACCAAGAGTAGGTATAGGAAGCATAAGTCACAATGCTAAATTCCTGCACGCTGAAAGTGAATTTTCCCATTTCCATTTCTCCTAGAACTCAAGGATATATATAATATATAAGGACTAATATATATAATATATACGTAGACTAATATATTTGTGGCTAAAAAGCGAAGAGACAAAGCCAGTCAGCCCTCTTATGATTAACAGTCAAAAGACAGTGTTGTGCGTTTTAACTTAGCTCTTTCATCTCAAGTTACTAATTCAAACATCTAATTGCTTTAGGAATTTGTCCAATAGAAATCTCTAGGATGATGGAGATGTTCTATAACCATGTTATCTAATACATGTGACCACAGAGCCCTTAACACATGCAACTGAGGAACTGATTTTTAGCTGAATAACTTTCTTCATCTAATCTCATTCATTTAAATTTAAACAGCCACATGTAGCTAGCACCAGACAGCGTAGCTCCAGAACAGATACCAAACAGATGTAAATAAAACGAAGCATTGTTTCCGATGCAGCGTTAGGAAAATGAGTTGAGCTGCCCCTGGGCACCACTGAGGGACTGGGCAGCCGACAATGGCAAGAACAAGACGATGTGAGTGGGTTACCCCCGGGGCCTTGCAGACCGGTGGCTAAGCTCCCCCTGGTTCCACCTAGATGCAGCTGCCTTGGCAGCCCAGAGCAAGTCTTCAGAAGACATCATCAAGTTTTCCAAGTTCCCAGCAGCCCAGGCTCCAGACCCCAGCGAGATCCCAAAGATTGAGACGGACCACTGGCCCGGTCCCCCCTCACTTGCCGCCGTAGGTATGCGACTGTTACAGCTAAGCCGAGTGGACGGATGGCTAGGAGATCTCAAAATGCCACGCTTAAAAATATGCAGGAAAATGAGTCCTCTCATAAAGGTTTTTATGAAAAAATATGACCAAGAGGTAGAATAGTGGGAAGAACTAATGTGGTATTAATGTGTGTGCAAAATGTCTCCACATTACAAATGCCCGATCACCAGAGCGTGCTCTAACCCAGTCACCAAGGTGCAGAACTGGTCTAAAACAGATGACACGTGTAGACCCTCGGAGCTGTTCCTGCGAAATCGGGAACGCTTCCGAACACCATTGAATCAGAGCCTCTCGGCAAGAACATTGTTCTATATAATTAGACATTAGTGGGTGAATTAACCGAGTTATCCCCAGACGCGTGTCTTCTTTCATTTAAATGTGTTTTAGACTATTTCTGATTGTAATTACAGTTCTCTTAACAACCGGTCCTAACACGGAAGCACTTTCACTTCTCGCACGAGATCAGGTTCTCCATTTCTAAGAAGGGCCATCACAGAGCAGTGCATGTTCGGAAATGTTACTCGTGTAAAGTTCTGTGATTTTTACATCTCTCATTTCCACGATTCTGTGCTAAAATGTCCCATTTGAGCTGTTTCATCCTTTGCTTCGAACCACATATTTATGCTTTAGAATTGTGTCTATGTCTTTACTGTTTTGTCAGCTATGAAATCACTTGGCCTAAAAACTGGTATTAGCAAACTCCAGCGCTAATACTGGAAACTTAGCGAGCTGGCTTTACAAACATGTGACTGCCTTATCACATTTCTGTTAATAACATAAAAGGCCTTCAATTTTCCAAAAGTTCCAAAAATTTTTTTCATCATGCTATTTTCTATCCATTTATTTTTGGAATAACTTTTATAAGCAATATAAGTAGATTTTAAAGCAACTTATATGTATATAAATTCTTGAAGGAAAAATCCATCTCTTGGGTCCATTACCCACAAGTGTTCTCTACGTGACATTGACTTGAGATATATCTAACTCTTGCAAACTTGTGTTTATTCATTTTTGTTAGTATAAAGAGAGAACATTCACCTTGACGTTTACGATTTTAGGGGCTACGAATCGATCATCAGCTTTTCTCTGCCAGGCAGTTGGTGGGGCCTTTGGGGCCCCGTGTCAGTCACTGGCTTAGCAGGGGCACCACAGTAGCCAGGCCCAAAGGGGGTTAAGACAATTAACATTTTGTTGTGGAAACCCTTGGGTTCCCACATGAAGACAATTTCAGGTCCGTTAATCAAAATAAGAGAAACTGAGACTGTGCAAGTTTATTTTGATTAGATTAGCAAGCTTTCCTGTTTCCTCCCACGGCCAGATTAATTCAAGCGATTGAGGAAAAACAGTAATTATCTTAATTTTCCAACCATCTAGACAGATTCTTCCTTTCCGCCCCCTGTCTCTCCTGTACCAGGAAGCTTAAACATTATACATGACTCGCTAGACTGTGCCAAAGCAACTTTTCAGCTATATTGCTGTATTGAGAGTTTTTATTAGTAGAACACTTTTTTGTGATCATTTTTCAGAGGGCTGAGAAAAAGGAAGCATCAGAGACCCATCCCTTAGGAGGAAAATAAAAAGTATACTTGTTCATGGGTTTATTAAGGGTAAAAAATAGGGTAATATTATGGCAAGCCTATATATTCAGCAGAAGAGAAAACTATAAGATTTTAACACTTGTCATAAAAAAGTGACCATTTAAAGGTATGTGGATGAATTTGGATTTCTCTCTCCTTGAAGACGGACCTTAGGGGCAGCACAATAGCAGTGAGTGTAGAAGCCCCTGCCGCTGGCTACAGAGCTCTGGCCGGGGTTCGGTGGGATGCCTTAGCCCCAACCGCAGGGCGAACCCGAGTCTTCACTGAGCCGACCAATTATTGGGAGAACGAAATCTGTGCCTCCCTGGGGCACACATTCTACTGGCTTGTCAAGCAGACTGCTGCCTCGAGAAACCAGCCAGGGTGCTGAATTAGTGGTAGGCTCCTTTTTTCCCTTGTGCTGTTCATTAATAGTCAGGACCACCGCTGACCTTGACAGCCTGGTAGTTGAGCACAGGTGCCCTAGTCCCGCACGATCCCCTTGCCATGCGGCTAACGTGAGGAGTTGTCTTTGCTGTGGAATTAGGAGCTGACACGAGACGCCGATCTAGCGGCAGAGAGGAAGACGACGAGGAACTCCTGAGACGCCGGCAGCTGCAAGAAGAGCAACTGATGAAGGTTTGTCCTTGAACTCCTTCCCTGCAGTCTTCAACTCTGTTCTGTTCAGTCCCTATTTCTGGAATGGTTACTATGGGTGAGCCACCAAGGCGAGCAAGAAGTGGTCCCAGCACTCGAGGGCGTGCTCGTAGAGATTGTAATGTGACAGAGCACTTAGTGGGTTCGGGAAGAGAGGGCCTGGAGGCTGGAAGTCAGAGGGACGGGTGCTGTTGGACCCTGCGCGGGGCATGCGTGGTGCGCGTGTTGAAGGAATGCCGAAGAGCTGGTAGAACCAAGGTGCACATCCGGAGGTTCGGCGCCTCCCTTCCCTCGGGCAGGCTCCCCTGAAGGAACCCCCGTGGAACCGAGCCCTTCTCCAAGTCTTTCCTCGGGACTCGTAGGAGTGTGTGTGTGTGTCTGGGCCAGGTGAGAAGGGGGAGAGGAGACTGCCACGAAGAAGCCCCCATTGTCTCCCCCAGCTGCAGCGTGGGCCTGCAGCACTGCAGGAGACCCATCGGAGGAAAGGCAGTCATAGCCTGGGTTAGAGGGACCGGGGATTACAAACCCTCCCACCAGTTAGGAACTGATGAATCCTTTCAAGTGACGTTGTCCAAAGACACCTAATCGCATTGGAAACTCACATGATGTCAGTTATACCAAGTCATAGGATACCCAGTTGCATTTCTAGTATGATCCCAATTTTGTATAATATGTGTGTGAAAAGTACTGAATGGACATAAAACAGAATGTGAATGGGTATCTCCGAGTGGGGGATTATGGGTTACTCTTCTTCTGAGTTCACTAAAATTTGCAGTGTTGTTAAACAAATCAATGTAATTTCTTTTTAAAGTCTACCGTCCCCAGTCTCCCCTCCCTACATCAAAAATCCACACACACCCACACATGCCCCCGGAGCCCACCCGCTGGCACTTTGGGGGACGGCCGGGGAGGGAGAACATTCTTCCGGCGTGGAGCCCTGCTCAGGGAAGTGCAGCCTGGACACTGGAAGGGCTGCAGGATTCGAGGTCCAGAACCTGGCCGAGCTCTTGAGGAGCCACGGGCCCTGGGACTACGTACATCCAGGCTTCACCGGAGTCCTTGCAAGACCCTCTAAAAAGGAATGACATTTTTCATGAAAGTAACTGCAGGCTTCCCTCCCATGTATCTTTTCCCTGTGAATAGCTCAACTCGGGCCTGGGGCAGCTGATTCTGAAAGAAGAGATGGAGAGGGAGAAGGAGAGAGAGAGCCGGGAGCGGTCGTCTCTGTCCACCAGTCGCTATGATTCTCCCATCAACTCAGGTGAGCAGGAGACCCACCGCCTTCCCCGAGCCGAGACCAGCCACCTGCCTGTGAGGGGCCGGCTCCGACTGCTCCAGGAGAGGAAGAGACATTTCCTGCGGGACCCACAGAGCGTTCCCCAGGGAAGGGAATGTGGGAAACCCGCTTCATGTCGCTGTAGCGCACAAGCGTGTCCCGATTCTTCCCCAAGTGTGTGTTTTCTTCCTGCTGCAAATGGGGGAGCTCTTCGAGGACCCCGAGGACACAGGGGTCAGGTTAGAACAGTCGTCTCAGAGGGAGAGGCACAGGAAATCCTTAGAATAGGATGTTTGTGGACCATCAAGAGTACCAACAACATTTTGTCAGCGCTGTAATTTTACTTAATATATTCAGTACACACACAGAAGACTAACAGGGCTGCTTTGGACACTTCTGAAGGAGATTACCGACACACTGGGCCAAAACAGTTTATGAGGATGTTTCCCCCTGCTTCTATTTGTCAAAAGCTAATTCTCTTAACCCACACGACGTCTTCTCCCATGTTCTGAGCTAGCGCCTCCTTTTCTCTCCTGAGGGTTCTTTAAAAATATGTTCAGTGTTTACTACAGGTAAGCATTTTTGCTAAATATTATCTCACACATTCTTCACAACAGGCCAGTGAAGTCGATGATGTTATTATTATCCTCATTTTGCAGCTCAGGTGTGGGAAGTTTAAGTAACTTACCCAGGGTCACATCACCAATAACTAGCAAAACTCGTATTTAGGAATCCAAGTATCATAACCCCAGACCACACAGTCTTAACTGGCTGCCCTGCTACCTCTCCTAGACGCCTCCCTGGCATTGACCTTGGATTAGGTGGTTTACTACTCTTTGGAGTTCCATCTGACTCTGTGCTTATGTTCTATAAGAATATGTAGCACTGTCCCTACATGGGTCAAGAAATGGGGCCTTAACAAGATGCAATGCCGTGCTCCGAGACGCAGAGGGGTTAAGTCACAAGCCAGAATTCGTGGCCAGGTCTGCGTGCCCCACAGCCCAGCAGGTTATGAGGCATCCATGCTGTTGGCGGGACAGCCTATCCCAGGCCTCCCAGGAGTCCAGCGGTGGCAGGCCAGTAGGTCTCGATAACGTTCACGGTTGACTTTTGGGTGAGTGGCTGCTGCCATATCAGCTGAGGCACAGGCTCATTCATCCAAGTGGCCCTGGGCTCAAGTCAGTGCTCAGCTGTTTACAGGCGTGGCACCCTTGGGCCAGCTACTCAGCGTTGTGAGCTCCTGTTTCTTCTCCCGCAAAATGGAAATAATAACAGCATCATCAGGGTTGTATCGAGGATTCAGATACACCTTCCCCACCCCTCCGAGGTCATATCACCGCCCATTCATTCCCCGAATCACCCACTGTGGTGGCATTTTGTGAACATTTGAACCCAACAGTATTTGGATTAATTTTTCTTTCTAAATCTTATATTCCACAAGGGAGAAGATACACTGTCAATTTCACTAAAGAATGGGACTTCCTCTTTCCTAACCATTGCTTTTTTACCTTTTTCCCATCTAGCGTCCCATGTACTGTCATCTAAAACCTCATCTCTCCCGGGCTATGGAAGAAACGGGCTTCACCGGGTAAGATTTGGCAGTCTGTTGTTTCTGAGTTTATTCCCACTTCAGCCCTGGCTGCAGCGCTGACGTGCTGCTCTGACTGCGCCGGACGTGATGCCGCCTGACTGTGTCTGGCGCACTGCTCTCCGAGCCCGTGCACAATGGAACTGTGGTCTCCTGGTCTCCTGGGGAATCACTCTGAGTTACGGGCAAAATGAGCGTTTCTATTGAAAGAAAGAGAAATGGACTTTGGATAAAAGAATAGCCTGTGTGAGTTTACGGGAAGACTAGATTAAGTAATAGGGTGGCAGATAATTCTACAGTCAAGCAGAAAGTAATTAGTTAAGCCTTGATCTTTGCTGTAAAAGAAATATAGGAACGTTTTTGGCACCTGCCCCCCGACAAAACATGGGATAAATGTTTTATTCCGTGTTGAAACTATGGAGAGACGTCTAACTAATGTGGAGAGATGTCTTGTTATTTATTAGCAAGAGGTGCTTGCTGGCCAAAGACCTACTGAGTGGTGGCATTGAATGTACTACCGCAGACAAAGAGATTTCGCAGAAGTAGAAGAAGAAAGAGGGAAGAAAAATGATGGGGGCCCAGGACTTCAACTTGGGAAGAATCCTTAGGTTTTGTAAATTCTTTCAACCTTTTCACCTGTCTCCCAGACAAACGGTGGGGAGGAGATTTTTTAATACTGTGGTTCTTTTCTCATTTCAGCCCGTTTCTACAGACTTCGCTCAGTACAACAGCTACGGGGACGTCAGCGGAGGCATGCGAGGTGAGGGTCCCCCGCGCGCACTGCTGGCCGGCTGTGGCGGAGGTTGAGCAGAGGCTGCGTGATGCCAAGGGCATTGGGTGGGCTCATGGCGCTCTGGAGTGGGGCCACACCCGCCCTCTGCAGGCTAACGGGGCATCTGTTCAAATCTCAAGGGATCTCTAGGGAAATGAGACTGTGAGAAGCGAGTTTGTAGGAATGAATTCATTGCTCCTACTCTCTGCTGAGCACTTTGTTAGATGCCCGGAGGTGCAGCGAGGGTTGGCCCCTGTCTTCAGAAAGCACACAGCCCAGGGAGAGTGAGGGAGAGGCTCCGTGGGGTAAATGCGATGGTTGGAGATGCCGAGAGAAGACAGAAGCACCTTCCAGGTGGAGGGGGAACGTCCACGAGAGAAAGACACTTTCTAACTGATAACTGACACCTGGGCAGGGGGAGAACTGGGTCACGGGGCAGTGTTTGGGCCAGTGCAGAAGGATACAGGCTCTCCATTAGCGTGTCTGTGATTCTCTGTGGTCTTTCCCTTCCGATGTTTTCTCTTCTCTTTGCAGACTACCAGGTATGGGACCCTGTCTTCCTGGAGTCGGCCACACCAGCAGGACAGGCGTTTTCCAGCCCAGATGTGTGTTGCTGCCCCGGGGCAGGGTTTCAGTTGGGATGAGGCTGATTTGGGTTGACCCGTGTGGTCATTAGTCCGTAGCCGTGAGGAGCTGTGGGAGCGGGCATGCCCACGCACGGGTCGGGCTGTCCCTGCAGGCCATGGGGACGTGGCACAAACCAGGCCAGGCGTCCGAGCACTCTTGCTCTGGCCTTGAAAAGTGCCCTCTGCGGGGGTGTAGACCAGCACCAAGGGCCCCCCCCCCCACATGTACAGTTTATTTTCTTTTAATGATAATGACTCGGTGCGTGAAGTCCCCCCTCCTTTGCCTGGTCCCACGTGAAAACAAACTACTGTCTTGGCCAAAAAGAAAGAGATGCGTTGGTACCGCTCCTTCTTTTCTACAACCTAAACCTGGTAAAATTATGATGGGAGAATGATAAAAGGAAAACTATGCAAAGAAACATAAAATAAAAATAAGGAATGGACGATTATAAACTTGATCTTTTTTTTTTTATGTACCACATACCTTCATAGTCAGAGCCCACATTCAGGGATTAGTCAACATAGTTAAGCCAGCCTACTTCCCCCAGTATTTGTGCCCTGACTCAATAAGGATCTCCTTCGGAAAAAAGCCATAGTAATTAAGGTGTGCACCTATAAAATGGTGGAGAGGACCTGAGACCCGAACAGGAAGACTTGGGAGCCCACGGGGCTCTCCCTCCAGCCCCCACGCTGCCCCGCGCTCCCCCCTGAGCCAGTCTTTGTGTTGCAGACCCTCCCGGATGGCCACATGCCCGGCATGAGAATGGACCGAGGAGTGTCTATGCCCAACATGTTGGAACCAAAGGCAAGTGCAGCTGCTCTCTCTCCTCTCATACAGGGATGACGAGCTGGGACATAACCCTGGAAGAGATTTGATTTTCTGTCTTCTCACCAGCCTCAGTGTTGAGGCTCCCTCGGCTCTAGGCTGGCACTTTTGGCAAGCTACCTTGCCATCTGGCTCTTTTCATCACACCGAGTCAGCAGGAGTGAGCCCTCACTGAGTGCGATGCCCTGTGCTCACAGGAAGGACCGTCACGTCTTCTGGGACCTCAGTATGAACAGGCCCCTGCCCTGAGCTCTACAAGGCATGCCCAGTGCAGAGGGGCGCCACTGCAGAGAGGGTGACCAGTATGTCCCAGTTTGCCCAGGCCTTTCCCAGTTTTAGCACTGGAAGTCTGGCGTCCCAGGACCCTCCCCTTCCTCGGGCAAACTGGGATGGTTGGTTGCCCTAGCTCCAGCACGTCCTGTGCCTCCAGAGGCATCCACGGGCCATGCGCCCTGGTGACCCTGACTGGGACTTACTTAAGTGTGTCATCCACCAGAAGCACTGCTCCTGGGCCTGCCTGGCTCCATGGATCCCTGAGCCAGGCATGGAACGAGGTTGCTGAAGTACATGTAAAGGTCTCCTACTGTATCAGACATGTACCTGCAATTTCAGTTCTCTCCTAGTTTGGACTCCCATCCCCAAGACATGGAAAACTTGTATTTTTTTAAAGATTTTATTCATTTATTTTTAGAGAGGGAAGGGAGGGAGATAGAGAGAGAGAGAGAAACATCAATGTGCGGTTGCTGGGGGTCATGGCCTGCAACCCAGGCATGTACCCTGGCTGGGAATCGAACCTGTAACACTTTGGTTTGCAGCCCACGCTCAATCCACTGAGCTACGCCAGCCAGGGTGGAAAACTTGTATTCTTTCACACAACAGAACCCTCCAGAGGCACAGTGCTGCGTGAGACCCCGCTGGTCAGCGGGGATGTGTCAGAACTCGTCCCCGCACCCTGGGGCCTCCGATGCTCTCATTATGATCTGAGGAGGCCCACCTTGGGGGCACTAGATGTCAGGCAGACCCTGCTAGTTAACGAAGCGGGCAGCAGTGTTCCTGAAGAGGTGTTTGTCTTTCCTTCGCAGATATTCCCATATGAGATGCTCAAGGTGACCAACAGAGGGCGCAACAAAATCCTGAGAGACGTGGACAGAACGAGGCTGGAGGTAAATAGACAAATAAATAAAAATCTAGCCCCAACGGCAGCTCCCACTGCATTTCCCCCAGCTTTCCCCTAAGAAATGTTTTCATGCAGGCAGAAGAATGAAAAGGATCACCCTCATATCGTAGGTAGAACCTAGGGATAACTTTGGAGAAAACCCATATTTACACTTAAAAGATCAGCATTAAGTAAAATCCAGAAGAACCACCAGGAGACCCGGTATGACTTTGGTCATTTTCTTTGGGAATTCAGTGTTGCCATACGTCCAGCTGGTGGCACAGAAGGGACCGTCCATCTCTCTTCAGACAGCCGCAGCCCCTGTCTTCCCCCAGCCTCGGCTGAGTCTGTTGAGAGAGGGGCGGGAGCGCCCAGGAGAGAGGCTTGGACTGAACAGGTTTCTCTCTTGGCTGCTTGCACATTCCTTGTTGCAAGGTATTCTGGGTACGCATACCCAAGACCTCCTTAGACCTGGAAGACTTGATCTTTGTATTTTTCCATCTGAATGATTTTAATTAAGAAAAGCCCTGGCTGCCAGCCTCAGAAAGAATCATTTTTTTCCCTGATGAAAGGCAGCGCCTTTGTGTGCAAGGTCAGCCTAGCACAAAGAATCAAGTCTCCGGTATCCTAAGAGAACTTTTCTAGGAGGGACCACAGGTGGAATGCCCTGCAGCAGACCTGTGGCGGAGCCAGCAGGAAGCCTGGGGCTCTCCCCAAGGGCCGCTTTGGAAGTCTCTCTCTGGCTTTCTTATTGCTGTGGTCCATTTTCTCTGCATCTTTCTGAACATCTCAAGATCTTTGAAGCAGAGTCACCTCCAGCATAATAAATCACCTCCCTATGTCTCACCACCATTCAGTGCCATTCTAATAATTGTTAGTACTCCACCAGCTCTTTGTTTGGTGGAGAGGGCATTCACCTGGCCTAGCCAGGTAAGGAATAACGAGGTGCAGTGCCTGCTAACAAGCCTCAGAGGTAAACTGCTTCCCGCCATTCTGCCTTGCTGTTCAAGGTGATTACTTGTAAAGGGAGCGCAACCCTCAAGGCCACGGGCATGGACAGCAGGACTGACCGCAGTTCTTTTGTCCCTCCGCAGCGCCACCTAGCGCCAGAAGTGTTCCGGGAGATCTTTGGAATGTCCATCCAGGAGTTCGACAAGTTACCTCTTTGGAGACGCAATGAAATGAAGAAAAAAGCAAAACTCTTCTAAGTCCCACACGTAGACAGCAATCAGAAAAAAGGACTAAATGGCAGTGACACGTAGGATGTTGTGTTAAGGCCCAAACCTGATTGGAGAATTTGCAAACTACTGTTCCCTCGGCAACAACAAAAAAGGGAGAAATCCGATTAAAACACCCACGAGCCCAACATTGGGCCAACCAATGGCGACAAGCTTGCCAAGGAGCAAGTAGAAATGTCTGTGTCCCCACATGCGACAGTAGTGTTCGCAGGTGACCCTTTCTCGTCACCTGATGCACACAACAGGAGCTCCTCCTTTTGTTTCTTTTTAACTGTTGTCCGACGATAGTGCCGACTGTATGGACCAGAGCCAGCAAGTGCCCTTAGGATGCCGCATGGGAAAAACAGCCGTCGTAACTCCAAAGTATGAGTATATTTATTATGTAGCAGACTGGCTAAGAAGGAAGAGCCCGAGGGACACGTGCATGTGGTAGCAGCCTTTTGCACAGGCCTTTGCTCCTGGCCTCGCGTAGCTCTGTGCTCCCGTAGGGTGGGAATCGCAGCCTGGGAACTCCGTGGCTCCGCATGAGCGGGCTGAGTAGCAGCTGGAGTTATTCTCAACAATCTCCTTGTTCTCTGCTGTTAGCCAGGACCTGGTTCACAAGTCACTTAGCTATTGGTTGGGTTTTTTTTTTTTTTTTTTTGTCAAAAGTTTTTTCGAGAGAAAAAAGAAGGAAAAGGAATGAAAGGAAAAGCTGCCTTCATTCCTTTTCTGCTTCAGATAATGCAATTCCCTTCCCTCCCCACCAGGGGCCGGAGCGGCTTCTCAGCCCCCCCCTTTACACAGACAGGAAAGGGGAGCAAAGGTCTCCAGACTGGCACGGCATGCTGTTAGGTGGTTTTCGCCCAGGGGCCAGGGCACTCTCGTCAAAAAGAAGCTCTGTGTCCCACCAGTGCAAGTCCTATGCTCTGCTTTGCATCTGGCATCCCCTGCACTGAGTCATGCCCATGCTGGGTTCGGGTTCTTTTTTCCAGACATTTTCATCAGTGGGCTGAGGAAAGGCATGGTTTTCTGTTTTAAAACTGCAACTCCAGGGTTGATTGCCTGAAAGTGGTTTAATTTGGCCTTTTCTGCTTCTCTTCTTGCCTAGCATGGTTGGCTCCATGGTGCGTGTGCGCATGCCCATGCATCTGACCTACTAACTTAGTCTGCAAACGGCTCTGGGAGCCTGTGGAGCTGGGAGACCAGCTGTTCCTTGTCTGAATGAAGCCAGACTAGAGTGCAGTTTTGCTCCTTTGTACCCATCAGTTGCCTCTTGCTTCACTCAGTATTTCTGCTGCCCCATCTTCTCTCTGTCCTCACCCCATTGGCAGCCTATGTGTCCCAGTCCCTGCTTTGCTCTGGCAAAGTGTGAGGGGCGGTGACCACGGTGTGTTCCCCGAGTTTCCCTGCCACCATCAGCAACGGGGGTCCCAGCGCTAGGCTGGTGGGGAGACTTTCTGCCATTGTGGGGTCAAAAAAAGACCCTCAGTGTTTTCACTGGTTGATGATTATACCCCATGCACATGCAGATCGGATGCCCATGTCAGAAAAACTGCAGTGGTGGTTAAAACACTTAGCCCAAAACCTGTTCCCACTAACACAACATTGCTCTCCTTGTATCTTTTCAATTTGTTTCTGCAGCCATCTTAGAAGGGAGAAGAGCTTCTTGCCATGTCAAGTGCATTGGGAAATGTAAACTATGCCGTGCAAATATGCACTGCCTGAAAATGCCAGTAGCCTCCTGTTTGCAGGCAGAGCAGTGCTATGCTCTGCAGTGGGGGCAGTGAACCCCAATATAGAGTGGGCTCCCCAACCCAACTCCCCAGCAGAAGGCTCCGGCTGGAGGGATGGCTGCAGAGGAGGCAACCTGCCTCTCCCAACTGCCAGGTCCAGTAGCTGGGCCACCACACACTCCCCGCTCTGTTCAATGGGGCTCGGCAAGCTTGTTCTCAAAGCATCCAGGCCGCTGTACCAGGGATCCGTGTTTTCTGCTTGAACCCCACCCCAAACTGCACATAAAAATTCCAGGTGTGAACCCAGTCAAATGGACAGGGATTGTTCACTGTAGGGATGGAATTATATGCCTGGCAAACTTCCCTGGTGCAGACACAAGGGCTACATGTGTAAGTGTTGGGCTTCCGTCCCATCCTGCCAGCACGCTGCTCGTGTGGCGTAACAGAAGCCCGTACGGCACTGTGAAAGGCACTGCTTCCTTTCAGGCTTCTTCCAGAAGAGCCAGGGTACCGGCCTGTCTTCCCGCGTGATTTGTGATGGGACACAAAGGGCGTTTGGAAGCGTGTCCAGCTGGCCACGCGTCCACAGCGTGGTTTGGGTTCAGGAGGGAATGTTCGTAATGTGACTTCTTTGACAACGCGAAACATACTGCCTGTTCTCTGCAACCTTGAACAGGGAAGCTGGAGTGAATGGGTGATATGGTGCAAAAACAAAGTTGTTTTTATCCGTCCTGTCCTCTAGCCTCCCCCACCCCCCTTCTCCCAGTGCCGTTGTTCCTGGGCCGAGTCTCCTCTTTGGAGCCAGGCCTGGGGCAGCCCACGCTCTCTCTCCATCTGGTTATGTCCGTCAGCTCCACTGGCGGGGCCTTTGCTGGGAATGTTTATAAAACTTTCACCTAATTTCTTTACACTTGAAAGCGAACACCTTTTTCTAAAGAACTGCTTCTCAGATGATTACATAAACTATATATATATATGCTTTTGCTAGTTTAAACAACTCAAACCATTTTGACTAAATAGGTTTTTCTAAAAACTCTTCTAAGCCAACTCGGTGGCCGAAACCCCCCTGCGTGTGCGTGTCGAAGGCACAGGGGGCCCCTCCAGGCCTCCGGCCCCCCGGGGGCTGTCGCCGTGCCTGTCCTGAGTGACGGCTGGAGGAAACTGGCCTCCGCGTCCCCAGCCCCTCCGTGTCCTCTGAGGCAGCCGCAGTTTTCACAAATCACTCCTCTGCGTTTCCGGCCACTGTGTAACCAGTGCTTCCTAAGCTGGCCTTGATTTTATCTGATTTTTAAAAATGATTTTTCTTTGACCCACCGAGTGTTTGTCCGTATGCCCTAAAACTCACTCATTAGTCCTCTGTGTTGAAGAACATTCTATTCAGGAGAAAAAAAAAAGGTTATTTTGGACTGGAGGTTTGTGATGACTCCACCTCACAGGGATGATGTACATCAGGGGAAGCACCCACCTGTGTTACAATGAAAAGAATGAGAAACTTCTACTTTGGCATTTAAAAAAGACAAAAAAAACAAAAACACTGTCTTTCCCGTGGCTGCCCGGGGAACTAGGGAGATGGTGACTGATACCCTTTGCATATGGATTTCTGGGTTTTTGTCTGGGCAAGCTGTATTCACGGCGAGCTCAAACAGAAAGGGGGAGGTGGACAGTTGAAGCTGAAAGAAACTTCCTGAACAATTTTTTGTGTGCGCGGCAAAATTAAATGCAACATGTGCTGACACTTCACGTAATTGAGTGGCAATTGTTATCATTAAATAACATTCTCCCCCAGTGTGTCTCTCCCGAGAGTGAAGACCCCAGGTTACTTTCTGAGCCCGTTCACCAAAGGTAGAAGGAGACCATACTGTGTACACCAGCGTTCAAAACGGCGGTGAGCCGCTTATCATTGTGTATGCATCCGTCTCTTCACCCTGCAGGAGAGAGAACGGATGTCCTCAAAATCGGTGTTCCTGGGGGTTTTATGTACAGACCCACCCGGTAACGAACACGTGCCGTTTCTGTGAGTTGCCGGCAACCCCGCGTCGAAGCTCTCCCAGTTCTTTCCATCTCCGTTGGGTTTATGGAATTTCTTTTCAAGTGTTAGAAGGTCCACTGTTCTCCCTGCCCTCCCTCCCCTTTTCAGAACTATGAAAGCAAATATGTGGAAGAACTGCTGTGTCAAAGATGTGTCGTGTCCCCCGTGAAAGTGAGTGGGTGTCCGTCTGCACCCTGAGTACCGCGTGCCGGTCTGCAGAGGTGGCCAGTGGCCGCGTCGCTGTGCTTACGATTCCAACCTCCTCCACGCTCCCGTTGCCACAGCACTCGCCCCTCTGCGCTGTACCCTGGGTCTCCGTTGTACTCACGACTCAGTGAATAAAGTGCGTGCTTTATTCGTAGGTGCCTCCACGTCGTGTTTGCTTTCTCATTGCCTTGCTCCCTCTAAAGAGTAGTCCCATTCGTAGAAACTCCAGCCTAACCTCCAATAACCAAAACGAAATCAGAATCAAACCAAAGCTTTAGGGATACATTTTCATCGCATAGGCAGGCTGGCTGGTGAGGGAAACGCAACCAAATAGGGTATACCAGGACTGTCCAGCTGTTTGGACCATTGCGACCAGGTTGACTAAACAAGAACCATGTTTAATCGAGCTGTTGCACTGGCTGGTGTTTGATTTTGTTTGTGACATAAGCTCATCTTTCAGGCAAGGCTGATGATTTGTGGGGGTTAGAGGGAAAAAGCTTCTGAACTGTCAGGCGTGAGGGCCACATGGCTTAAGAAGCTCAGCTGCAATGGGAGGAAAACACCTGTCCAGTCTTCGCCCTCCCCTGCAGCACCAAATTCAAAGTGAAGGAACCCTGCGTTCTGATTTCTTTGCTCTTCACGGCCAGGACCTCTGCACTCCAGGTGGCCTCTGCTCGTGCTGTTCTGCAGTGGGTCTCTGCGTCCACGGGGGCTGCTGTTGCAGAATACCACCAACGGCGGGGCAGGGGGAGGGGTTGAACAATAAACACATATTCCTTACAGTTCTGGGGGCTGGGAGGTCCATGGTCAAGGCGCTGGCGGGTCAGGTGCCTGGCGAGAGCCTGCTGGGTTTGTAGACGCTGTCCCATGAGCTCACAGGGTGGGCAACGAAAGGAAGCAAGCGCTCTGCCATCTCTTCTCACGAGGGACTGCCCCCTCCTAAGGGCGCTATCCCCCAGAACCTCACTGCCTTCCCCTTGAGCATGAGGGTGAGCCATGAATTTGGGGGACACACACACACCATCCACGACCCCCATCCGGGGCCAGTGGCACTCGCATTCAGCAGACCCTCGCCTGGCAGTTGGAAAGAGGTTCTCGAGAGAGAGTTGCCTCGTTCCATTCACTGCTGTAAAAAGCAGGCCAGGAAGCCCCAGCTGGGGGTCTGTGTCTTGTCAGCGTCTGCCTCTCCCCACACCAGTGTCACCAGTTCAGTCCCTAATGACCACGGCCAGTGTCTCCTTCAGTCCCTCTGTCACGCTGCCTGTGGCATCTGCCCCCGTTGCCCCGCCGTGCTGCCGGCTGTCCACGACTCCCAGCCTCGCTCCGGTGGTCAGCCCTCGCACGGCAAGTCCAACCGACCGGGCTGGGGATCCAAGGCCCTTCGCAGCTGACCTTTGCCCTGCCCGCTGCTCAGCACCCCCTCCCAAAATGCCCCGCCTTCGAATCTCTCAGCTCTTCCAAACCACACCACGGCCTCACCGCCTCCGCAGCTCTGCCCGTGGCCTTTCTTCTCTACGGTGTCCAACTCTTCCAGGAGGTGGAGGGCGGAGAGCCTCTGGCCCCAGGGAGAGGAGGTAATGGAACCTCCGTGCTGGAAATCCGTTGCCCGGAGCGCCCTGGAGTTGTCATGTGAATTTCCCATGGGCTCCATTGCCGAAATCAAAGACAAGCCCAAGGTCACACCCTGTCTATGATGGGCCCAACCCAACCTGCCGGGTAAATTCTTTGCGTGCCTGGAGTTGAACATCTCGTTTGACACTCACCAGCGCTGCAGAGCCCTGCTGGCTTGGCGTGTGTTTCTGCTCCTCAGTCGAGATCTCTAGTGGTGAGGCCTCGCCGTTCAGCGCCTGGCTCTGGGCTGCCAGCATCCCCTGCAACACAGGCCCTCGGAGCACCACCCCGCAGGCAAGGAAACCGAAGCTCGGAGGCTGAGTAAACAAACACACCTGCCTGGTTACTCAGTCAGTGAGGCCCAGAGCTGGGATCACCCAGACCCGTCCCCCATCAAATCCCGTCCTGTTTCCCTCCGAGTCCCACAGCCCATGACCTTCCGAAGGCGAGGACTGTGTCTCCCACACACTAAACCTCCCAGGGGCACTGCGCAAAGGGGTTCTCTGGGGAGACTGGCCAGTTCCTTTCAGTCTGTCTGTGCGCCCCATCAAGACCCCCAAGGCGGGGGTGCTCACGGGCTGTGTGTCTTAAGACCAATTGTTGAGCCTCTCTATGCCTCAGTTTGTTCAACTGCAAAATCGACAAAATAATAATATCCATCAGAACATTGTTGCTTAATTATTATAGCATGTGGCCGAGCACAGTGCAATACCCAGCATGAAGTAATTGCTCCAGAAACTTTAGTGATTTTTAGCCAGAGTAATTAGCCACATGGACTCGAAGAACCCCCTAAACTCTCTGAGCCTCAGTTTCCTCATCAGTCCTTTAGGAGAGGATGCGGCTCTGCCTCTCTGGTAGTGTAGTGAGGCCAAGTGAGGGCAGGGAGCCTGCTTAGACACAGGAAGTGTTACATTAACAGAAGGTGTTGGGTCAGGAGGACTTCTTGGTGCTGTTGTAAGTAGTTTAATCATTGATAACTTTAATTTCTCTTCTGGGCTTTTTGTCCCCTTTACGCCTCGTGAGTCCTCCAATGCGAAACAAGCTCTTTTCTTTCACATGCTTCAGGAATACCCCTCTCTTTGTCCAGGAGAGTCTGAGATGAGGTCCCCAAAGATATGCTACCGAATGGTAATAGTAACAAAGTACCACGCGGCTGTGGGGTGCAGGGTACGGTACCAAACTGCCCGGGTCTGGAGTCCGGCCCCACCAATAATTAGCTGAGTGACCAGTGACAGTATAACTTTTCTAAGGCTCAATTTCCACTTCTGTAAAATAATAATAATAATAATAATAATAATAATAATAATACCTACCTCAAAGGGTTATTGTGAGACTCGTGTAGAACAAGACCCAGCATGATATAAAATAAAGCCCTCAAACATTAGCTTTTATTAACAAAGTTGCTGTCATGTCATAAGGACTTTACTATCTGCCGAGTCCTGCGCTCAGTAGGTGACATGGTTGATCTCACACAGCTCCGTACACCACCCCTCCCCGCCGCCTGCATCTCCCCAGTTCCAAGCTCAGCATGTTGGGCAAATATCATGCAGGCACTGTGGCCAGCCAGGGTGGCAGGCTGCTGTACCCAGAAACAGCCCGAGGAGCCAGCGTGGGGCTCGGCTCTTCCCAAGGGGTTTTTAGAGTGGGCGACTGGTGTGTCCTGGGTGGTAACGACCCCCCTGGCCTATGCAAGGGGTGCTCAGGACCCCCAGCTGCCGAGGAGCTGAGATGCATTCCCTTGAAAGATGGCTTTGCCTCCAGAAAGGGCTTTATAATTGTCTGACTCACTTCAAAGCCATCCAAGGCAGCAGAGGCTGAGCCGCCAGTCCTTGTAGTATTTGGGGACATTTCCTAGGCTCCAGAAAGCCACCAGTCCCGCTCAGCCCCTCCTGCCCACGGCTGGGAGGGGCTCCTCCTCCCCACGGAGCCAAGCAGCCTGGCCCTGGGCGTGTCACCAGCCTGGCCCTGCTGGACGGGGCCTATTGTTGGCCGGAAAACCCTGGGAAGGGTGGGGACGCTAGGCTGGCAGCTTTTGAGAAAGCCCAGCATGGTGAAGACCAGCGCCCACAGCTTCTGGGAATCCCAACCCCCACCTCGAGGACCTGTTTCCATGCCCTAAACTCCCTTCTCCCCGCTATTGAGCCAGCACTCCGATACAATGCGCCCCTTCACTCCCACAGTGCCAGGAGCTCAGCTCAGGAGAGGGCCCAAGCAGGTCAGGGCTCTGGCGGAGGGTGTAACATGACCACATTTATTTTACTTTCCAGTCTCAGCTGGATGAAAGTGCTCTCCGGGGCCTGCCATTGTGCCCAGCACAATAGCAGCCCCTGGAGAGGTCTCTCTGTATGTATTTGCGCTGTCCGCCTGCTGTGGCCTCTTAACTCAGCCCTTCCCCTTACATAAAAAGGAAAGTTGGCTTGGGAAACCCGCCAATGCAGAGGCTGGTTCCACCTTGCCCTTAGCATGGTGCGCCCGTGGGCCCTCCCAAACGTCCTGAGGGGCCTGGGAGAGGGGGCGGGGGGGGGGGGGGGAGGCAGAGCCTCTCTGCTCCCAGACCCAGAGCTCGGGAATCAGGCTCCAGGGCCCGCGAGTCCACAGGGTAAGCGGGTGGATGACCACGGGGTGATGGCAGCAGCTGACACTGTCTGAGGCGCCCCGGGGTGCCAGGGGCTGGACTAAGTACCCTGCGTGGATTACTTCGTTTACCCTGGGGGAAGCCAGGACCAGGAGGGGCCCACCGAAAGGGAAGTGGGATGGCAGCCCCTCCCACCTAGTCCAAAAGCCACATTTCTGCTAACATTGTCACAGCTCTCGGGAGTCTCCATAGTAAAACGTGGTTGTCTAATGATTTGCTGAAAGACTCATCTTTGCAAAGACGAAGACCAGCCTTTCTCAGCAAAGTGGAGCCTGGTCACAGGTAACGTCTCGTTCGAACATGGCCGGATGCTGGCACAGGGCATATCAATTCTTTTATTTCTGCGATTATCTCAACTATATGCTTCTTAAGGAAAAGCTAGAAAATGTGGGTAGCAGGTACATTCCCATCAGCCTGGACTCCCCTGGGTTCTGTTTTGTTTTTTAAATAGAACAAATACTCCTGTCCTCCAAAAAAAAAAAAAAAAGGTATTTCAGGCAAGTTCGAGCCAGTTGCTGGTATTCACAAATCATTATTGTAACCAGATGGCTGCTGTGAATGTGCCGCTTTCACAAGCAACCCGGGTAGGTGGTGTCATCCTCGGTGCACAGATCAGGGCCGTCTGGAGCCACGATGTGGACCCAGGGGTGACAGCGGAGCTGACACTGCAGTCCACAGGAGATTCCGATTGGGTGGGTCTGGAGTGGGGACCGCAAAGCTGTATATGAAAGCTGGGAAGCTTCCCGGTGATTCCGATGATCAACCAGGTTTGGGACCCTCTGCCCCCACAGTGAGTGACGTCTGGCCCAGAGCGGAGCTGGCCTGTGAGTTACCAGGCACCCTTCGCCAGGCTTTGCCCCTCACTGTCACCCCCATCCATGGGACTGGAATCAGACAAGGCCCAAGAA